AGGGACTGAACTCTTCCAAGCACTGACCCAGGAAGAAGCACTATGTGTGCGATGGCAAGCTACTGCCTCCTTACGTTCTGAACCAAGCAGCCCGAAGCAGGGCAAAGTAAGGTTCCCAGACAGACGCCACTGATTAGGGGACTGAGCCTGAGGTCTTTCAGGACCTAATGAGAAAGGATTCCTTCTGTGTTTCACATGTAAATGCACACGGTATGAGCATGTACACAAATCCTAGCTTTAACAAACAAGAAGCCAACAGTTAAGCACACCTGTAATTACAGCAGTGGAGAGGTGGAGGCAGGTGTACCTGGAGTTCAAGGCCAGTCTTCAAAAAGAGAGGAGTGAGAAGAGGAGAAGGAGGAGGATACAGAAAAAAGGATGGTTCTTAGTTAGTTTCTGTACTCAGACAGCTAAAGCAGGAAGATCACTACTATGAGTTCAAGGCCAGCCTGGTCTGCACATGGGAATACAAAATAAGGCATCATCTCAAATAGCAACAAACAGGATTTACTTAAGCAAGAATTAAAAGTTTAAAACCTGGGGCTGGGCCGGGCAGTGGTGGCGCATGCCTTTAATCCCAGCACTCGGGAGGCAGAGGCAGGCGGATCTCTATGAGTTCGAGACCAGCCTGGTCTACAGAGCTAGTTTCAGGACAGGCTCCAAAGCCACAGAGAAACCCTGTCTCAAAAAAAAAAAAAAAAAAAAAAAAAACCTGGGGCTGAAGAGCTAGCTCAGGGGTTAGAAGTACATGTTGCTTTTGCAGAGGATCTGGTTTGATTCCCAACACGCATATGGTGGCTCACAACCATCCATAGCTCCACTTTTAGCAGATCCATGGGCACCAGGCACACGTGTGATGCACATACATACATGCACGCAAAACCTTATACACATAAAGTAAATAAATCTAAAAAAAAATCTGTTTTGGAGGGCGAGGAATGGTTTTCTTTCTTTCTATATAATTTATTTTTTATTTTATGTTTATTGGTGTTTTGTATGCATGTATGTCTGTGTGAGAGTATCAGAAACCCTGGAGTTAGAGACAGTTATGAGTTGCCATGTGGGTGCTAGGAATTAAACGCAGGTCCTCTGGAAAAGCAGCCGGTGCTCTTCACTGCTGAGCCATCTCTCCAGCTCAGGATGATTTTCAAAGGTAGAATGGTTGCCTAACATGGCCAGCATTCTGAGTTTGATCTTCAATAACACTAATAATAATAATAATAACAACAACAACAACAACAAACAAACAAAATAAAAGCAAATGAAACAAACTAGTTTGGGGCTCAGGAAAATCAGATGCACACATACAGCACTGGTCCTAGAACTGGGTCAGGGCCTAGAACTCAAGAGGGAACCTCTCCTTCTGTAGCAGGGAGCATGTCCTCCTGCCCCTGGGGCCAGAGAACAAATCAGGCAGGAAGAGTGTAAATTCAACTCCTGCCTGGTCTACAGAGTCAGATTAAGGCTAACCAGGTCAGTGTAGTGAGAATTCTGTCTTAAAAAGGAAAAAAGGCAAGTCAGGCAGTGGTGGTGCACGCCTTTAATCCCACCCAGCATTTGGGAAGCAGAAGCAGGTGCATCTCTGTGAATTTGAGGCCAGCCTGATCTACAGAGCAAGTTTCAGGACAGGCTCCAAAGCTACAGAGAAACCCTGTCTCAAAAAAACCACAAAGACAAAAGAAAGGGGGCCTGGAGAAGTAGCTCAGTGGCAGAGCTGCCTCTACTCTCTTTTCTGCCCCCCCTGAAGTACTTTTGGGTAGTAGTCATCTTCCTCTGGAATCCATCAGACACTCCAAGATGGGACTCTCCATGGAGAATGCCAATACATTTTCTCTGAAGGAAACACCAGCCTTCTTGGCCTCTCAAGATCTTTTTTGTTTGTTTGCTTTGTTTTGTTTTTGTTTTTCGAGACAGGGTTTTTCTGTAACAGCTCTAGCTGTCCTGGAACTCACAGAAATCTGCCTGCCTCTGCCTCCCAAGTGCTGGAATTAAAGACGTATGCCACCACCGCCCAACGCCTCTCAGGATCTTGATGAACATCAAGAACCACCACAGCAGCTACAAATCTTTCATTCTGTGGCCCCTGCACCTTTCCCTCCACGCCCTCTGACTGCCAGTGGCTCAGGTGGACCGGGCCCTCATCAAAATGGTCATTTCGGAAGAGCACCTCACTGTGGAGTCACCGTGTCACAGCTAGGCCTCTAGTGCTGGCTGTGGTCTCTCCATCCTGGCAGCCAGGCAGTACTGTTGGTAGATGCAGTCAGGAGAGCAGCGATTTGGGGGCTGTAGGATTCCTCATAGGCATTCCTGCTAAACCGAACTGCTGGGTGGTTAGCAGGGTTGGGGTACAATTGCTTTTTCTTAGACACTACCCCATCTTGCCAGTGTGAAGGACACAGCAATCCTGAGCAAAGAACTCCCCCCCCCCCAGACAAACGCCCAGGGCTTGTGCAGCTTGTGCAGCTGCTCCCCTCCCAGCAGGTAAGCAGGCCCAGAGACCTTGCATGAACAACTTAGAAAAAGGTTTTGTTTTTCTAAAACTGAGGGTTAGACCTAGGGTCTCATATGAGCTCTGAGTCCAGGCCAAAGCTGAGAGCTCTAAAGGGAACGATCAATTCAGCATAGCCTAAGCTTTTCTGGAACAACCCTGCAATGATACACCAGCTCAGTGAAATACCATGTGTATCCTGGGGAACACTTCACAGGAACCAAGGGAAAATGCTCCAACATTGTGGGGAGAGAAATGCCCTTGGTCTGATTATAAACAGATGTTGGGGAGGGGCTAGTTTTGAATCTGCTCACAATGAGTGAATTCAATGAGCTGTATACATTATTTGTGCACATCCTTTCTGTAGAGAATGCTTCACTTAAAGTTTACCTTTAAAAAAAAGCAAAGCAAAACAAAAAGCATCTCAGGTCAAAGGAAAAAGGCAGATGCAGAGGTTGGTGTTCTGATCTGTGGGGTACTGGGAGAACTCAAAGTAGTTATGGGGCAAATTGCCACCCTCACTCCCAGCTCGGCCTCCAGAACCACTGAAGTGTGCTTCCACTGGGCTGCTGGGATTCCAGCAGCAGCAAAAGATGAAAGAGCAGGCAATCGATACAAGAGAAGGTGAGAGGCTAGAGAGAGAAAGAAGGCAGAAACCTGGGCAGTGCAAACATCTTTAAAGATTAAAAGAACAGCCCACACCTGGATAAGCTGCCTGTGCTAGGAAGAAGCCAGTTCTACAACAGCCTATTCCCGGATGGGTTTAATAAAAAGAAGCCTCAGGAAGTCTCTTCGCGGAACTCCCAGTCAGACTTCAGTAGAAGCAGAACTACTGCTTACCTCCCCTGCATGGACAGGCTTGAGGGATGGCCCAGTTAGAAGAGGCCAGGGACACATCATAGCTGAAACTATGTGAAACTTTGTGAAGGTTCACATTGGCTCCAAGTTCAAAACAATCAAAAACAAAATAAAAACTGCTTTTCTGGCTGGGGATGTAATTCAGGTGGTAGGGTGCTTGCCTAGCTTGCTGCAGATCCTGTACTCAGTCTCCCAAACCTCACAAACGCGGTAATAGCAGTGCACGTCTGTCATAGGGAAGTAGAGTCAGGAAGGAAAAAAAATTCAAGGTCATCCATTGCTATTCTGGGACTTTGAGGTCAATCTGGGCTATAAGAGAACCAGTCCAGAAACACTTTCTTGCCTGTGTGAATCTTTCCTTTTTCATTTCAAAAGGAGGTGGTAAATCTGTTACCGACCTATACTATACTGGGGTCAAGGACAAGCGTGAGCCTCTCCGCGGTGCTCCAGGAATCTTCCAGCTAGTCCCCGCCTGGAGGGGAGGAGGGGCCGCTCGGCGCCCTCAAGCTCGGGACTGCAGGCCAGACCCACAACGGGTGCCGCCGAGCCTGGAGGTCAGCTGCGGAGTGGCCGCCGCTCTCTCCACTCCGGCCTCCTGATCTCCCATTTCAGAGTATTTGAAGACAGGCACTGAGGACCAAGAGGCCTGCGCTGCCTCGGGATTTTCTCCTGCTCTCCCGGCCCCGCCGCCCACTAGTGCTCACCGGCTGCTTCCCTGGGCCGCGTCCCCGAGTGGTAGGGAAGGGACTGGGTTGGGCACCACGTCTGGCGGGCCCGGGAGGACGAAGGTGCTCGAGGCCCCCAGGCCCGCCGCGGGACATCAGCCCCATTTCCGCCGGCTCCGCGCGTTGCCGCGCGACGGTCCAGTCTCCAATCGTGCCCGGGCTGTTCACCAACTGAGCCCGAGAGTTCCGCGTGCGCGACTCCAGCCTTCAAACCTATGCCCGCCTTAACTGTCCTGAAAGACTGGTTGAAACCAGCCTTTAGGGACCCAGATCGCTTTATTCTCACCTTCATGCCCTAAGTCCCGGGCGTTCCCATCTGTCTCTCTACATTGCAGGTAGGGTGCACGCCGACATATATGGGCCGCCTAGTCCGAGAAAAACGTAGCAACTAATGTTTATTGAGCACCCACTTACACGCAAAGATCATACTTTGTCCATTAATCCCCCACAACATAATGATCAGGGCATACTGGGATAACCTGGAGGGGAGACAAGTGTGGTGGTATAACCACGGATTTCAATGTCCAGGTGACAGACTGGGTGTGCCACCCCATACCCTGAAGAGGCAAAAGCAAATGCTTTTTTCTTGCTCCTTCCCACATGAAGATCAGGACTGAAACCCAGATTCTTACTGAGTAAGTCCCTTCCTACCCCTCTCCCCCCCTCTGTCTGCTCCCCTTCCAGATCTCATTTGTAATATGGGAGGAAAGGCCACTATTTTCCTGTCTTGAACAGAAAGGCCATCAAGAATCTTCCCAGTACCCCACCCAAGAGCTCGAGTGGGTTGGACCCGGATTGCAGGAGAAACTGAAGGCATCTTCCAAAAGGGACATGTCCAGGAGAGTACCTTGAGACCCAACCCTTGCCATGTGCTCCTTCCAAGACTTGCCCCTCTAATTTGCCCCTTACCTCTGCTGGGTCCAGAATTGTCACTGGAGGCTCAAGAATGGGGATGTCTCTGAGGGTGTGGGGGGCACTAAGAGACCACACCCTCGCCCCAAGCTGCCCAGCCCAACCTAGCCACACCCTCCCTGCCTGCCTGCCTGCCTCTGATTAGGATATAGGGGTTGGGGCACCTGGCAGGAGATCTTGCCTGGCTATGCACTGGCTGATGGCCTCAGCACCCAGGATCTGTAGCTTCAAGTGTCACCTCAAAGCTCAGGCCTCCTGAGACCCAAGCTAGCAGATCTAGAGACTGGGTGACCCTTGGGTTTTGGGGCATGAAAGACCAGGGGCATACTGAACAGGGACATGGAGCTGGCTCCGTTTAGTGCCTTCTGGGGAGATGGTGATTCATGGCTGCTTCATAGACGGGAGCACGTGCCAAGAGGAAATCAGAAGTCCTGCTAAGGCCAGGTGTCAAAGCAGGCTCAGCAGCCCCCCAGGAGCCCATCAATCTCCCATGATGGTGTAAAGAACTCAGGGCTGGCCAGTCATAGCAAGGGGCTATTTCCCTGAGGCCATCTCTCCAAGATACTGGTACACCTTGATGCAGTTGTCCCCTGCATCTGCCACCACCAGTTGGCCCTGGGGAGCACAGGCTACACCCAAGGGCCTCTCTAGTCCCTCCAACTTCAAGCAGATGGGTGGCCCAACCCGGGGAAACAGGGTTACCTGGTGCTTCTGCTCATCAGCCACAATAATGCTACCCTCCGAGTCAGAGCACACACCTGCTGGCTGGCCAAAGCTATGCCCAGTCAGGGTTCCCAGGGAGCCCAGAGGCTGGTGGGCACTGCCAAACAGCTGCACATCCCCAAATTCTTCACTCACAGCAAGGCCCCCATCAGGCCCTGGACCTACCCAACAGGGGCCCTCTAGACCTAGCATGGAGGTTGGAGCCAGGGCCTCCCAAGTTGGTCCCAACATGAAGCTGTGCACAGTTCCAGGCAAATAGTCTGTCACCAGGAAGTGGCCAAAGGCATCCACAGTCAACCCTCGGGGGGACAAGAATGTGCCTACAGTCACCCAGCGGCCCTGGGGTTCCCGGGAAGTGTACCGGAGCGCATACACGGCCCCATGGATGAGGTCACTGACAACCACAAGCCCGGAAGCAGTCACGGCCACATCCTCTGGAACAAAGGCTCCAGTTCTATTCACGCGGCAGGGTAGTTGACAAATAGATCGTCCCTCAAGATCCAGCACATGGACACAGGATGCAGCACCAGCCGTCAAGAAGAGCAGGCCATCTGGGGAGCAGTGCAGGCCTCGGGGGGCCCCGGCAGCCCCTGCTGGTACCAGGATTTGCCCCAGCAGCCGGGGCTGCCGGGAGCGACTGGCATCTCTAAGCTGGTCCAGCCTGAGATCAGGTCCTTAGGTGTAGATGGCTAGAAGTAGGGGTGGCTCAGGAGCTCAAGGAGTCAGGACAGATGGGAGGCCAAGGGCGTAAGTCAGTCGGTCTCGGCTTCCCCGCAGCTGCAAAAGAGTTGGGACACCCATGGGTGCTGACGGTGACTAGTGGGTGCTGGCACCCTCCTACTGAACTGGTGAGGAGCTGAACTGAGATGGGGGGGGGTAAGACTGAGCTGTGTTCACCTGGTCCCCAAGCCCAGCAGCCACACAGGTGGTGAGATGTCTGTAACAGTGGTCCAAGAGACACCACACACGCAAGAAGGTCAAAGGTTTTGCTCTGAAGCCCAAATCGCAGGCATCACTGTATCCCAGCTTAGGAGGGAGGGTGAGGGGAGACAGATAAGCAACTTCTCTCAAACTCATCAGCCCTGGGATTCTCCCACAGGGTTGGCCTAAGCTCCTGTTAGTGTTCCACCACCACCACCACACATAGCCCCTCTGCTTTGACCAGAGAGTGAGCCAAACCCCAGCCTCCCAGAGCTCTCAGCTTGCCCCTTCCACAGAGACCAGGATATCCCTTACCTAGGACTAGGCTCCTGCCCTGGACTTTAACTCATGCCTCTGTTGTTAGAGACAGGCTGGGTGTGTGTCTGTGTGGCAGGGTAGGGAGTAGGGGAGGAGTCACCAGACAAGTCCCCTGCAGGGACAAGTTGAGCAAGGAGGCAGGGAGGGGCTGTTTGGGTTGAGTCCCTGGCCTCCAGGCCTGCACCCTCCTGCTTGGGTCTTCCCCTGGGCCGTACCCTTACTCTGGACACTTCCTACTGTCCCTTCATAGCTGAAAGTCTCAGACAAGCCTGCCCTCTCCAGAAGGGACCCAGAGTCCTCTACAACAATAGGCCGCCCCTCCAGGCAGGACCTTTGTGTGAGGAACAAACCTTAGTCACCGTCTTGCCTCCTCCACCAGGAGGTCAAGCTGGCAATGTTGCCTCCCAGGATCAGAAACCAGGATACAGTAAGCACATAGGGGTACAGATTTAGGAATTGAGGTTCCTCGGACGCCTGGCTCTGCCCCCAGTGGTTCCCCAGGAAGCCTTCAGGTCCAGCCAGCCAGAACTCTCGCCCCAATAACACCCGCAAAGCCTCACGGCGGGGTGGCTACCTGATGCTATCACCAGGTGGATGGTTAATGGAGCAGCTGAAGGTCCTGTTTGGACTGGCCCCAGCCTGGCCAGTCCAGCCCCAGTGAGAACAGTGCCTCCTCCGAGGGCAGCTTGTACTTCAGGGCATTCCTGGGTGGGCATGGAGGCTACAGCCCAGCTCCCCAGGGAGAAAAGTAATTTGCTATGGCTGGGGGGCCCCAGCCACCCTCCCTGGCTGTCTCCCACCCTGGCCTGTGGAAGGCCGAGCAGGGCTGTACTGGGAGGGAAGCAGTGAGCTGTGAAGGCCACTGATGCCTATCATGGCTGCAGGGACTGGCGGGGGGCCCAGGAAGGCCACACGGGGTGAGCAGCCTGGAGCCATAGAAGGCAGGAGGCTTTGACCACCACAGGCAAAGCTGGCATTGGGCTGCTTGGATGGATTCAGGCCCAAGGACGAGCAGGGTCCTTGCCCATCCCCTGTGAGCTGAAACAGACCAGGTCATCCTGACATGTCTGCTTCTCTGCCACTCTTCCCTGAGTCCCATCCCTTGGCCCCAGACTCTTTGGAAGAACCAAGTCCACAATAAGGACTTTGAGGCCGAAGGTGAACCCTAGCATGGTGTCCTAGACACTGCTCCCAGGGATGCCCAGGCCAGGGACATTTCCTTGAGGGTGCCCAGGTGCTTATGCAGGGACAGAAAAGGAAAGAAACCCAAGTATAGGGTGTTTGAAAGTGGTTTCTGTTTTAATGACCGCAACTCTGTCCAATAAATAAATCATGACCTTCCTATGTCCATGTGACCCCAGAGATAAACCTCTACCATGGGCTAGTGTGGGGGGATGGGAATGGGGAGCATCTGTCCAGAACGCATGCACACCGACACTGGACAGGCCCAGACAATGGGGCCCAGGCCAGGGAGAGGAGCCCACACATTAAGGTGGCTGTGGACAGACCTCAGTACCTGGGAGGATCTTCAAGCTTGGGGTATCTTTAGGGGTCTGGGAGCTGCCAGCCCCAAGACGATTGCCCCAGCCACTACCAGGAATTCCATGGTCCTCAGAGGCCTGGAGCGGGAGGGCAGGAGGCGGGACACTGGAGTCAGCCTCGCACTTGGTGGTGCGGCTAGAGAAAGGCTCTAGTCCAGGACCTAGTATCCTGGAGGGCTCAGAGGCCCCCCTTGCCAGCATGGGGCTTGGCTCGGGCAGCCCCCAGGACTCTGCAGGTGCCTTAGTCCCCTTGGAAGGCACCCGCTTCACTGAGAGGTCCAAGGGTGTGTCCAGCGGCCGAGCTGCCCGGGCCAGCGCCTGATGGATGGTGAACAGCTCGCGGCGAATCTTGCCAAGCTGCTCCCGTAGAGGTCTAGGGGCGAGATCCCCAGACGGTACCAGCTGCCCCAAGCACTGCTCCACCCTGGCGTAGTCGCCAAAAGCCTGGGTCAGGTCCTCTCCCACTGGGCCCGGACTTCCTAGCACTTGGCCTTGTGGCTGCTGCAGAAGGTGGACCTCACGGCCTGGGGCCTCAGGATTACCCGGCTCCTTGTCCTCAGGCCAGAATGTCAGGGAGGACCCTGTTGTCAGGCTGAGAAGTAGAAGCCAGTCAAAAGGCTATCCTGCCCGGTAAAGTCCCCCCTAGCCCCGGCCTATGTCTTCTGCTCAGTGTTACCCACACCTCAGGGAAAAGAAGAGGCCCTAGTCTAGAACAGCACATTCAAAAGAAAAGAGAAAAAGGGCTCTTTGGTATCAGATTCCTCTGTGGTTTGGAGTCTCTGCTCCTGGTAAGTAAGCTAAAGATGGCCTCATCTCCCTTCCAGCCCACCCTGACACCCCCACCCCAAGACCCAAAGATCCTGATACCCACCTGCTCTGACAGCCAAATTTTGCCAGTTTCAAGGGGGCCTTTGGGAGCTCAGGCATATGGCCCGGGGGCAGCCTCTTCTGCTGGTTGCTCTGAGCCACTCGTTCCAGCTCTCCGTCATGCCCTGGGTCTCTGGAAGTGCTATGGGGCCAGGGTGCCCCCAGCTCTGGCACAGGCACCTTCAGCAGCCCAGGAGCAGCCAGAGCCCCAGGAGGCCCCTTGAGGGACACAGAGGACTTGGTAGGGGCAGTCCTGCCTGCTGACTGTCCCAGGGCGTGCTCCAGTAGCAGCGGGTAGTACAGGCGGGGGGCCAGGCCTGGGCGCTCGGGTGCCTGTGGGGTTGGGAAGGCTGCAGGGGGCAGCAAGGGACTTGCTGAGGCCAGGAAGGGCATGTGGGCTGCAGCCGCTGCCAGTGAGGGCCCCAGATAGGAGAAGAGACCTGGGCCGAGAGGGTAGTTGACACCCAGCAATGACAAGTGGAGGCTCTGGGCTTCGGGGAACTCTCCCTGGGCAGGTGGTGGGTAGCAGGGGACACTACTCTCAGAACCCGCTGAAGCTACGGCCCCTAGAGCCCCACTCATCAGACCACCGCTGAGTCCTGGCTTCCACGACTCTGTCAAGAGGTTACTGGGGCCTGGACCTTTCCGTATGGCTCTAGTCAGAGGGGGCAGTGACCCTGGGGACTCCTCTGGTGTAGGTTTGGGGCCCCTGCCACAACGACGCTGGGAAAGGCTGTCAGTGACGAGATCTGGCACAGTAGGCTGGCTACCTGGGTCTGAGAAGTCTATGGAGCAGCTGGAGGTGGGCACCCGAGGCCTGGGCGAGGGGGGCGCACGACGGCATGCCCAGTCAGGAGAGTCTAACAGCAGGGAGAGAGAGTCCTTGCAGAGGCTGTACTTCATGTGGTTGTAGAGATGGGACTTCTCCAGGCAGGTGAAGGGACACTGGAAGCACTTATAGTTATAGGGTTTGCCCCAGGGTCGTGGGATGTAGTGTGGCTTCTTGGGCTTTCTTGACCGTGCCCTTGTCCCAGTGCCCACTCGACATGAACCTGCCTCACGAGACATGGCAGCCTGCTAGCAGGCAAGCCTGGGCACCATGACCACCTGCAGATAGGAGAGACAAGGACTCAATTAAGACCAGGCCTTCTCACTCTCTGTTCCTCTTCACTGGGGTCCCTTCATCAGAACTCAAGAAGCCCCTATTTGCTTCACCTCGATGCTTCTGGCCTTTGTACTACAGACCTTCATTCTTTCGGGAGGAGACGTGGTGGCATTTGCCTGTAATCCCATGATTTGGGAAGCTGAGGTGGGGGGTTTCTGTGAGTTCCAGGATATTTTGAGCTACAGAGTGAGATTCTGTCAGAGAGAGAGAGAGAGAGAGAGAGAGAGAGAGAGAGAGAGAGGAAAAAGGAAAGGGAAAATGAAGGCACCTAGATGTTCTGGCCCAGGTACACATAAGTAAGTCTGTAATGTAAGGATGGTGTAAGGAGGACCTAGAAATTGTGAAGAAAATATTGTTTTTTTTCTGAAATTAAGCTTAAATGGGTGTCTTGTATTTAGCAAGTGATCCTGTACAAATCACTACTGCCGGGGCCAAAGTAGTCCTGTAGGCCAGTTTCTGGGGTAACTGGTCCCCATTTATCTCTGCTCTTTGCGCCAGGCAGGTCCCCACTGAACATTTGGTAAGCGAATGAAAGCAGCCGTGTATGACCAGAGCCACCAGTCTGATGGCCCTCTAGAGACACTTTCTTGTTGAGCCACCTGCCCCTGCCAGAAGCAGAAGCGAAGCACCGAGATTAGAAGCCACCAGCAACCCTGCAAATGCATGTGTGCACGCACGCCGTGTGTATGTATACCGGAACGAGCTAATAGAGTGTCAAGTGGACACTGGAGGTCTCTCAGGGGGTCAGCCACACATGAGGTCCCCCAACCCAGGCTGGGGGGAGTGGATGTCACAGTATGGCCCCATGGCACAGCCACCTGCTCAACCCAGCTCCATCTGGGTGGCTTCAGGCAGGTCAGTGACTGAGCCTGCAGTGACCACGCTCAGCCAAGACTCTCTTCTCCTCACGTCCTGCACACTGGCTCAGAAGCTCCTCTTCACTCCATCTGGGCCACCACCTGGGCTGTCCACTATCCCAGCGCTTGTGCCTGTGCATGGTGCATGTGCACATAGGCTTTGGGTGTGTGCATACGAGCGTGCAAGATTCCCAAGGAATCCTTGCTCTCCGCCTGGAGGAGCAACTGCATGGCAGAGCTAACCAGGCACAGGGTGTGCCACCAAGGGCACACACATCCATACCACTTCCCACTCAGGATGGATATGGCTGTTCACAAGGGTAAACCCACATTACAGACTATGCCCAAAGACACACGCAGACATGGCTGGGATTCAGACTTGCTCATAGATTCATCATAGATGCAGACATACAAGAGCCGCATGATTGGAGCGGCGAGGTTGGTAGTGGAAGACAGTTGCTGAACTCCGCTTTCTTGCATGCTGGCCATTGCACTTTGCCCGTGGCAGATATTCACCTTTATTCTCACCAAAGAGCAGACTGTCCCCCCTTTGGTGGATAGCTAGAAGAGTGAAAAGCACTGCATGCCAAAAGGCATGGGACCATACAGAGTTCCCATGACCAGGCTGGGCTCTGGAGATGGGGCAAACACAGGCTAAGGGAGACTCCTAGGTTGGGAGGTGGATGCTGGCTCAGGAAATGGTCGGGGCCTCCCTGAGGGGTTGCAGACCCAGCCTGGACTTGGCATGTACAGAGACAGTCTCTTCTCCTGCCTGCATTCCAGCCCCCCCCCCCGCCCCGCGCCCCGCAAGATGTGATGACAGATAGGGATGTGTGCTCAGGCAACAGAGGCGTCTGTGCGGGGACCATCGATCACCCAGCCCTGGGAGCCACACAGCTGTGCTGATTGGTGCTACTGCTTAACCTACCTCCCAGCCCGGACTGGAGGGGTCCTCCTGGGGCCTCGGACCCAGGGGGTGAGGCTCTTGTGTTTCTCTCCAGACCAGGCACCCGAGGTGCTGACCTCTCCAAGACCGAGAGGATGCTGGGCACTGGTCCACCACAGTGCACGTCCCTACACCACACATACACAAAGGCACACTCGTTCTGCCGCCACCCAGTCCCAGCCCCAACTTATGACCTGGCCTGTGCTCCCTTACAATCTGGCTTAGTGCCTGGTCAGAACTAATAGCTGGAGGGGCCAGCCCACACATGCGTTAACCCTCTTGGGATTCAGTATCCTACAGGGATGGGCACAGGAGCTGAAGTGGACAGCTGGGACCCTAAAACCTTCCTTTTGCCTCCCCGCTGCGGGCACCGCCCTGATGATTCCTCAAAGTGCCGGGATCACAAGCAGCCCTTTCCACGCATTCCATTCTGTCCGGAGCCTGAGCCCCAACTTCACTGGAAGTGCCGCTTGTCTGCCTTACCGCGTCTGCCGAACTGAGCCCGTGGAGGGGCAAACTTCCCACTTGCGGACACCGCGGCGTAACTGAGGTCCAGAGCTGGAAGCGGTAGCGATGCCGTGATGCCGCCGCAGCCGCCTTCCGCGTCCCCCGACGCCGACTCGCAGGCGCCCACCAAAGTTGGCAGCGAAGCGCGTGCGCCACTGCGCGAGCTCCCAAACGCAGCGACCTCCGACCAGGCTGGGCAAGGGAGGCGGGACAGCCTCAGTCGCAGACGGCTCACATCTCCTTGCACGCCGCCCCGCACACTCAGTGGACGCGCTGGGACGGCTCCGGGAGGGAGTGAGGTCGGACCCGCCACGGTGTTGCAAAAGCCTGGAGTGGCGCGCAGGTGCGGGCCGAGTGAGGGGCTCCTGGCACCGTCCCCGCCCCCGACGCCTGCAGGCTGCCGCGGGGGTGCGCAGAGGCTGCCAAGTCTCCCGGGTCGCCGCAGCGGCAAGAGGGGGCGTCAGCACACATCCGTCAGGGGTCTGGCCCCTGACAGCCTCCTGTCCACCCAAACCAGGTCCTGGGGGCTGAACTCTAGGATAGGGGGACTCCAGAACAGACCAGGAGGGGCCAAGCCCAGAGTTCAGGCGGTGGAACCTATGTGTCCTTGCCAGCTTCTCCTGGGTAAGCCAGATCGTCTGTGTGGTTCCTTTACTCCAAACAGGAGGCGTCCCCCCACTCCCCTTGTTCTGTTGGCTAATGGACACAATGCTTTAGCACCCCCACCCCTGGATTCATCACGCCACTCCCAGGCCTCAACTCTCCACTTCCTAGGAGGTTCCTCTCCACTTCAGGACAGATCCAGCGCCTTTGCTCACTGTCTGAAGTGCCTCATCCTCGCTGGTGGCTTTCCCTAGAAGGATTGTGAGGTGATAAAAGACCCAGGTCGGTTTGGAACGCCCAGCAACTATAAATGCTGGAACTGCCTTCTCTTCAATGTCTTTGTGGCCAGAACTGCTCCTGGGTCACACTTCTTAACCAGATCCCAGGGAAATTTGCCTAACTGGTGGGTTCCAGAGGTGCATGTGGGCAGTGGGCATGGCCTGGACAGAGACAGATAATCTCTCTCTCTCTCTCTGGAGTCTGCCTATGTGTAGGGAAAAAACCTTAGCCCAGAGGTGTGCTGTTTAGCATTTCAAGCATGGAAGGGTGATTGCTACCCCAGGCCTGCACTGCTGAGGCACAGAGGTCAAGAGACTCTTGGGAACTCAGGACTCAGCTACTGGCTCCTGGGATCTCTCCAGTTCAGATCAGTTGAAGAAGGGAAATCTCTGTAGTGACTTTGGGTCACTAACATGGGGGCAGTCATAGGGTGGAGGGCACTGAGGTTTCAGTACTTCTAGTCCCATGAACCTGGACTTGGTTCCCATGTCTGTGTGGCAGATAATGGCCAGAGCCCAGCTGTTGGCCAAAGTCCAAGGGTTGCAGGTCAAGGAGTAGGGCCTCTCCAGTCTAGCTTTCTCCTGTCCCCGTGCCACCTTCCTCGAAAGCAGCCCACCCCCCAACTGAGGGGCATCCAGAGCTGGAAGCAGCGCTGTGGATTGTACAGCAATGCTCCTTTCTGCCTGCCTGGCCCAGCTAACCAGCTGAGCATGCAGGTGGCTCGGGGCTGGGAGACAGCTTGAATGGCCAATGTGCCAGTAGTCCTGAGACCGGGAGTCCAGCTCCTTGTGGACACTAACTAGAGATGATGGCAAACTCAGGTCACTCTGAGACGAGGAGAGTGGGAACACCAGGCACGGGCCCCTTATTCTCAAGGTCAGCTCTGTCCTCTCTGGGAACTGTGGAACAGCCTCTGGCTGACGACATCAGGGGCAGGCTGGAGGTTGCTGCCACTGTCCAGGGAAGGCCTGGCTTCAACAGTCAGGGAACAAAGCCTGGAGCAGCTCAAGTGAACCTGTGGTCTGCAGGACAAACCCAGAGATACGCCATGTAGCATCTCATGTATGAGGTTGATAGCCGTAAGGAGGATGACTGCCGAGGCCAGCTCTGTGGAGGCCCAGAGAAGGGAGATGGGAAGAATGTGGCCAGAATGGGAAGAGCAGGAGGGAACTGGAGCAGCCCACATGCCCGGCAGTGCCGCCTCTCGTGGGCCTTTGCAGAAATTCATGTGAGACAGGAGGGAGAGGCCACATCCAGAAATGACCCTAAGAGTTTCTATCACTTGAACATATTCCTGGATTTCCTAGAGGGGGAAGAAGCTCCTGAACCCTGCGCTTGCCATGGAGGTCTGGTGGAAAGCTTGGTGAGCCTGGCAGCCCCTCCCTTCTGCCCAAGGGGCTCTTAGGCACACCCAGCCCCTCCTGATTTCCTCTTCCTCTCTTACCTTGGACCATTCCTCTGCTGGGGCCTTCCACCCACCCTCTCTAGGAATGGGGGACCATGAACTCTAGGATATGACTCTACCTCCTGAGTGGCTGAGCTGCCATAACTTGGTGTTTGGACTTGTCACCCTGAGCCTGAGATCCTGCCCACACTCCCGAAGCAGTAGCTCTCCCCTCTGGAGTAGAGAGAGCACCTGGTCTTAGCTTCAGGCCCTAATAGGGTCCTTGACTAGGATAGGGGCCTGGTGGTCTCTCCTGGTGTGGGTCTTGCCTTTACCCTCAGCTGGAGGTTTATTTCAGCCATTTAACCTTCTCTTCTTGACCTGCCCATGGCTGCCCGCCTGTCACCTCCATTAGCATTGGCCCTGTGCGTGCTGGAGGCTTGTGAGCTGGCTAAAATTTCTGGACTCTGTGCTGTCTCATTCCCTCAGTGTTGCAGCCCTCCCCAAGACAGGCACGGGGCTGGCTGGAACTCCACAGTGGGCAGAGGGACCGAGGTTAGAGCCAAACAGGGTCTAAAACCCACGCACAGAGGGACTCCATGGAGCGGCAGCAATTCTGTAGTCCCGCATAGTATACTTGGCAGTGGCTCACTTTGCACCTTCTGAGTACAGGACACATGGCAACATCCTTAGTCCTTGTGAAATCCCTGGTCCAGAGAGGAAGAGACACCCTTGTAGTTTCACCTTTGTTGCACAGTCAAAGTGTCCTTGGGGACTGCAGGCTGGTGGGAGAGCAGACCGAGGGCTTGGCTGCTGCAGGAGATAGGCTCCTGCCTGAAGCTGGGTTGGAGCTGGAGGCTGCAGGTCTCGATAGCCCCAGGGAGCCACAGTGGATACACAGTATAGGAAGGGAGGCGACGGGACCTGCTGACTGCAGAGGGAAAACCTAGGCTCAGGAAGCTAGGACATGGGTGGAGCCCATACTGGGGGGCATAGAGCAGTCTGATGAATTTTCCTTCTGGGATCTGAGTGCTCCATTCCAGGACATGCTGGGTTATCCAGCAACTTGGGGAGGAAGGGGCTGCCACTATGTGCTGGGCAACAGGATGGATGAGACACCAGTGATTACTGGAGGATCTGAGCCAGGTGTGGTATGTAAACGGTGGTGGTGTTTGTAAACCCCCCTTCATGGGAACGTCCCAGCTGGACAGGGGCCTCTTCCTTTGGAGGGAGCAGCCGGCCTGTCCAGGTGGGTGGGACAAGTTCATGCTGCCCAAGCCCCCGCCTGGTCTCTGAGCCCGGTTGGCACTGGTTGAACAGTGCCTGGGGCCGACAGCAGCCATATGTTGGGAAGTGGAGCTGTGTGCGTTCCTCTGCGGCCCCCAGGGCCAGCCTTCCTGGGCCTGTCACAGATGATTTTCCCTGCCTGAATGGCAGGCAGGATGGCGGGTGGGGCAGTGGGGGCCTGGGTGCTGACCCTATGTCCAGGGCCTTCACTGCCCTCAACACCAGGGACTGCCACTCTTGGAGTATTCCAAGAGCTGAGCCTCGGTTTGAAGCCTCCAGAATTTCACTGAGTAAACCCTGTGGTGGGCACCCCTTTTAGATCAAAGTTGGGGTTCAGGAGAAGATTCCTGGCTTGTTACCAGGGAGGAACCTCCTGCCTGGTTGTGGGTGGTGGCCAGGGGTCCACACCAGCTTGCTGTGTGCCCCGGGCAGGTGGAAGAGGGCCGGGAGCCACAGCCCTGTCAGCCCAGCGCCCAGAGCTGTGCACAGGGAGGCAGGGAGGCCATGGCTAATTTGTACACTAAGTGCTTCTGACAGGGATGCCTCACAAGTGAGAACATACCGCTGCCTGCCCTGGGAAGGCCATAAGGCTAGCAATGAAGACAGTGGGCCCAGGAGAAAGGGCCATGGGGACACAGGGCCAATAGGGACCAGGAATTTGGGGGCAGCCATGCTGACGGCTATTGGAAAGGTAGGTCTGAGGAAGAAATGTGGAAAGTGAGGATGAGACAGAGATAAGGGGGCAGAGCCCCTGACCACTCTCATGCCCAAAACTGTTTCAGTGACTAGTCCTGTTGATCTTGGGCTTCAGACCTCCTGCTCATGGTGTGTTAATGCTATGGTGTGAAGTCTACTGCTGTGACTAGTCTGCCCACTTCCCTCCTCCAGTCCTCTCACCCCATCCAGAATCAAGCACTCAGCAGCCTTTTGAGGAGCCCTAGCCCCCTCCCAATACTAGCCAGAGTTTTGCTTATGTGTATAACTTCCTTCTGAATGCCCCTTTGTTTCCCTTCCCCATATGCTGGGGTCCATGGGGAAGGGAAGGGGAAAGTGTTTGCTGGGACCAATCAGAGTGGGTGAGCATTAGCAGTTGGACCTCCATCTTGCCCCAATACTAGAGTCCTGCCTTTTCTTGAGTTGTTCTGGGGCTGGAGCTGCAGGGGCCAGTATAGTGGTGCCAGGTGGAATAGGGCAGAAAAAAGAGGAACTAACTGATCTTTGGCTGCCAAAGGTGCCCAGAGCTGGCTCCTGCCCTAAGTACGCATAGGTGCAGGTCTTGCCCCTCCACTGTAAGAGATGGTCCAGCCTGGTGCGCAGCCGCATCAGGGCAGGGAAGGCGCTGTGGGTGGTGAGGTGAGATGTGTTGTGGCAGCTGCCCCGCTGCCCGAGGCCCGCCCGGAGCGAACACTGCTGGTGGCTTTAATTGCTTTCACATTCGATGGGGCTGGCCTGTGACAGGCCTCTTACGCGGTGCACTCTGGTCGTGAACCCCCAGCCCCCGCTTGCCCAGGGGCATCCTCTAGCTCCTGAAGGGGCCTGGGCTGCTGGCCAGAGATGGGCCCAGCCTGCACCAAGCTGGGAGGGGACACAGCTAAGAAGAGAGCAGCAGCTACAGTCCCACTCACCCTCTGGCTCCATCTGCTCCTTCCTGGTGACTGATGGATTCAGACAGCCTTCATCCCCCCCAGTGCAAGAAGGAAAAAAAAAATACTTGCACACATGTTGTCCTGCCCACCATGTTGGTCCTACCTGGCTGTAAGGCTAAAACCCTAGGGTCTGGCTCCAGCCTGTCTTACCTGGATACTCACTACTTCGTCTGGCTGGCTCATAGCTCATCTCACCTTAGGCAGAAGCAAGAACTGCCACCCCACAAACCCTGGCACTCTTCTGCACAGTTCTATCCCCGCGCTGGCCTCTGGAACAGCCTGTTTCTGTGTGTATAGGGACAGAGAGGGTGACAAAAGACTGAACGCTCCCTTACAAAACAAAACGCTTTTATTTGGTCCTTGGAGCCTGAGTGGAAATGGCCTATGGAGTCATCGAACAAGGAAGGGACTGATAGCTGATAAAATAGTCTCTGTGTTCGAAGAGCTGGTCCTATTTACAGGGTTAAAAATATTCACAGCTCAGAGTAAAAGGAGGCCCAGAGGGGAAGGGAATGTTTCTCTAGGTATAAAAACCCTCGCAAGCCCCATGGAGGCAAGGACAGTGGGTGTGCAAGCTGCCCACTGCCTATGGGGCTGCAGGACAGTGGCGGCCAGGTGGGGGGGGGGCCCAGGAAATGACTCAGGCGTCCATGTGACAGATAAGGGCTCTGACAAGCAGCTAGGGAAATGCTGGGCAGGTGGGCAGCTTGGCTCCCTCATCTAGGAGAGGAAGTAGTCACACCTTACATGTGCCTGTGATGGGACTGGGTTGGGGAGTGTCCTTCTTTGTGGACAGACTGAGGCCGAGGGACAGTGCTGATTGTGGCCAGAGAAGCTAAGGACGAAGCGCTTCTCCAGACAGCCGGGCAAGGTCTGGCTCCCAACCTGCCACCCCATCATGGCTTCGATCCTGGAAGGTGCTCCAGGAATTGCATAGTGTTGCAGGAGGGGCAGCTGTCCCCAAGCCCTGGCTGATGGCCACCAGGCATCTGCTTCCTGCAATGCGCCACTCATGTGCCAAGGCTATCAGGACCCTGCTCACTAGGCAGGGAGCTGGGCTTGGGAACAAACCAAGGGGGGGAAGCAGCAGATCGGAGCCTCCACAAAGGGTTGCCCAGGCTCTCAAGGCAGGATCATGGCCTCTGAACCCCCAGATCTGGTTCTCTGAACATATATCTAGACTGCCTCTCTATAGCAAGTGACCGCATATTCACAGGGCCTTGGCTACCTGAAGCTGTCCCCAGGGCTCAGGATAGAAGTACTGGAATGAAGCCCACCCGGCTCGAGGTATTCAGCATGGCAGCTGGGAGGCCTGGTGGGGGACTGAGGGTATTTGGAGTGTGGGAGGAGAGGAGGGAGGCCCAGGGGAGGCTGCACCCTGTAGCCGGCGGCTCCCTGGGCAGGGTCCTGAGATTCTGGTTCAAGCATCCTCCATTGGGGGTCTCCCTCATAAAGTGCACGTAGGGAAGGGCAGGTGGGTGGATCTGCACGTAGGCCCTGCCCTAGGGAACTGTAGTCATAGTGGCCGGGGTCCATGGAGACCAGCCACATCAGGTGTGAGTGGGGGGCTGTGGGTACCCCTAGAGGCCGTCCAGTCGCTGAGGAAGGCCTGAGCTGCCTTGCGATGTGCCAGGCGGTGGGTGATAGAGAATCCAGCATTGCCTTCCAGCTGGGATAAGATCACCAGGACCTGCCTGCAGGAGAGGGCCGATGAGGATCAGTGGGAGACCAGGGCCTAGGGTAGGGGAAAAAACAGCAGGTACCCACCTGTGCAGGGGTGGTACACTGTCCTGGGTGCGCAGGCTGCCACGTGTGGATACCACATTGAAGCTGTCGGTGCAATCACACTGCACATGCAGGTAGGACTTGGGGTGCCGGTTCTCCACTACCACGATGAGCCCCGCCCAGCCATGAGTCAGATAGTAGCAGGTCATGCCCTCTCGGCCCTGGGCACAGGCACAGGGTGGGTGGGCCAGGGCTGGTGGTTGCCCACCCGCTGCCCTCCCCCATCAGGACCCCACCCACCTCATGCCGCTCGCCCCGGCTCTCAGTGAGCAGGATGATGGCATCGGCCAGTGTGGTTGGCTGCGCCTCCACCGGCTCCACCATGACCAGCCTGGAGCTGTACACTGCGAGTACGTGGCCGGGTGGCTCGGGGGCACCTCGGGGGACCCCTGTTGAGGGGCTGGAGGCTGTGAGGGGTGTGGATAACGGAGCCAGCAGCTTTCCCGTGGGTGGGCTTTGGGGCTCAGAGGGTGGGAAGGTGGGTATGGGCCTCATCTGGCTGGGGCCCTTACCCTGGGCAGGGGGCCCTGGTGGAGCAGGGTTCCAGTGGTTGAAGGCACAGCACACCACAGCATACTCGCCAGGTTCCAGCATGACATCACAGTTCACAAACTTCTTAACAGCACGTTTGCTGTGGGCCAAGAGGCGGCCCAGGCTCAGGCGGCCACCGGTGCCAAAAGTGGCCCGGAACACCAGGATGCACAGATCCAGGAGGTGGCTGTCCACTGAATCCGAGCGCCTGAGGGCCAGAGATAACGGGCAGCATGCTGCTCATGTGGCCATAGCCATGAGCTTCTAGCTTGGTAGAGTGCTCAACCTGTTGCCTACCTGCTGCCCTCCTGGAAAAGGGCAAACTCCAGGGAGGCACGCTCCAGCACTGTCAGCGCGGTCACACCCACTGGTCCACTGGCAGTGCTTGGGAAACATCCCTGAACTCGTGCCTCCTGCCAATCTGAGTGTACCTTGCAGATGTCCACAGAGTCAAAGTACCTAGACAGTGAGGGAAAGGGGCAGCTGAGCAGAGTGCAGCCCAATGCCCCAGCTCTGGGATGCGGTGTCCACGCTACAGCCTCTGCTCTCAGCCTTCAGCACTCACAGCAGTCTCCCTGCTTCACCGTTCCCTTTTAGTTGTCTCCCACCACTCTTTGCCGGCCCTGGGAGTCCCTTAAGCAGAAAGCACTTCTCTAGGCTGTAGCCCTGTTGTGGTTTGCATGTGAAGTATCTGGTCCCTGGCTGGTGCTGCTACTGCAATCAGGAGGGAACTGACCTCATCAGTGGGTGAAGCCATTGATGAGTTCATAGCTGAATGAACAGGCTATCAAAAGGTGGTGCCTGGTTGGAGGAAGGACACTTCCGGGTTCAGGCCTGGTCTTTGAAGGATATGTGTGGCCTCTACCTGTCTGTCTCTGCTTCTTGACGGCAGCGAGGTGAGACTTTGCTCTACTATACCCTTCTGCCTCACCAGCAAGGGTCAGCTGATCATGTACTGAAATCTTTGAAGCCATGAACAAAGTAAGTTTTATTTTTGAGATGGGGTTTCATATTGCCCAGGCTGGCCTGAAACTCATTATGTACTTCAGGAACTTGGGACCCTCCTCCCTCAGTTGCTGGAGCGTTGGGATTACAGATGTGTGTGCTAGCATACCTATTCACTCCTGCTTTTAAGCCGTTCTTTCTAGCATCTGCCACAGTGACAGCAAACTGATACGGTTCCTGAATACCACGGGGTACAGAATGACACACACAAGCCCTGCTTCATATAAACCTAAATTCCTTGGCCAGACCAAGAGCTGCCTTTCAGAGGCCCGCAGGAGCTGAGACACAGACAAACTGCTTATCTAGACCAGATCCCCGAAGATCTGGCCACAGGAAAGGTGAGGGCATCCAGGTACCTGATAAAGTCACTATACTCCATCCAGAAAACACCCTCGCTGCTGCCATGTGGCATGAGCTCAGCTCGCAGGTGCCCTGGCCAGTGTGGCCACTCATCCGACCAGCTGCCATTCCAGGAGAAACGGCCCCAAGGGTTCCGGAGTCGCAGGAGCCTGGAGATCACAGGACTGAGAACCAAGAACCATGTGCCTTGTGCCCATGCACTTGTCCACCCTCAGCCAGTTGGGCCCTTACCTGGAGCCCTGAACATCACGAACATCCAAGATGGAGTAAGCATGGCGGGGGCGCAGACCCAGGCTCTCGTAAGCAGCATCATCTACCTTCATGTTACCTCCCCCACAGGAGGCACCCATGAGAAACCTGTTTGGGCAGAGTGACACTGGCTGATGGAATGGATGGACAACAGGGGAGATGACCCTTCCTGAACATGGGGGGTATAGTCTGGGACCCATGTGACACGTGCTTTCTGGATGAGCTCAGCGTGTCTGGGCTACAACAAGCTGGTTTCTGAAGGCTTGGGCCTGAAATGTGGGCAGTAGCAGTGCCCAGGTTCAGGGGAGGCAGGGATATTGGCATCCTCTTCCAGGACTAGAGCTTCTGTAGGTCTTTAGGTTTAGACTCTGCTAGACCAAGGTTCACAACACCAATGAACTCCTCAGGGTCCCTCTGTGAACTCTCTTGCCTGTCTTTTCCTAAGTGAGAGGTAATGAGATCTGGGCTCTTTCTAGGGTGGCTACCTAGAATGGCTATACTTCTTAGCTATGGCCCGCTAAGCATCTAGTTAGATGTGGCACAGGCAGAGGGCGCTGGCCCCACTTCTCCCACCACTCCACTCTTCTCCCAATGCCACAGAGGATGGCAGTGACCGCCTCTTACCCAGCCTCCTTAGAACTCAGCATTTTGGCCCAGATGAGGTCAGTATCAACAGGTTCTTCTCGGGGGTTAGTGGAGCTGACCTGCAGCGCCAGGCTCTCACAGGGGGCACCGGTGAGTGTGGCCAGGCCTTCAATGGCACGCCCTGCCTGGAGCGCAAAGTAGGAGCCGTGCAGCTTGGCCAGCGCCTTCTCAATGAGGGCCACCCACAGCTGCTTTCGTTGTGCCTGGGGGAGGGATCAGAGTCAGAGGTTGCCTGGCTTTCCGGCCCGGCCTCCCACCTTGTTGTCCCACCTGTGAGAAGAGCAGAAAGCCAGCCTCGTCGCAGGGCAGCATGTCGTCCACAAGCACTGTGGTCCATGTGCCATCCTTGCACAGCCGCACCTGGTAGGCACCCTCTGCACATAGGCTACGTGTAACCATTACCCGCTCCACGAGGTCAGGACGTTCAGCCAGGACTGCCAACGCACTCAGGAACCTGGATGGAGCCAGGCAACTTCACAACATGCCCACAACTGGACCAGTAGCCTCCATCCTCCCCTGAGCCTGCCTGTTCCTGGCAGGAACCTGGAGCCTCACCAGCAGTTCCCCAGCAGGCCCTGTAGGATGTCAGAGGGCCTCAGGGTGTGGAAGACTGACCACGGAGTGCTGTGGTCCCTGAAGACAGAGCAGTTGATTTCGTGGGGCCGCAGCCACTGCTTCACTCGCTGCTGGACGCTGTCGCCCACTGGGAAGCCGACAGATGCAGGCCCGGGGGGGAAGCTGTCATCCACAAAGTTCACACTGTTCTGTAGGGACCATGGCCGGACACTTAGGCTGGGCAGGGCAGCCTCAGGCCCAGAATGATTCCACTCTACCTTTTGGGGGAAAGAACCCCACCCTCCCAAGAGAGCTTTAGAAGGTTGGGGTGGGGTTCTTGCATATTATACTGACCTTGGTGCTAGGCAACTCTGAATGGTTTGAAGGGCTCACCATCAGGATGATCCTGAGTGGGCATGGGGACACATGGCCTTCCTGCCCATGACACTGTAGGCCAGTGGCAACCAGGCCACAGTGAGCATGTTAGCTTGGGAGATGGCACAGCTCCAGCTGCTCCTTCAGCTGACCCAAGGGTGAACCCACCCAGGGTTGAGGCTCTGCAGCTCAAATGGAGCACCAGGTATCCCAGCCTTAAGCTTTAATGGGGCATGCTGCCCTGTGTTGGACAGCCTCACTGTATCTTCATCTCTCTGTGGGCTTAGACACGGGAGGCCTGGGGGCCTCCTAGGCCTGGGAGCTGAGGGACTGTGACATGAATAGTGGAGGTAAATGTTAGTTACCTTGGGCCAAGCTGCCTCTCAGCCTCAGAAGAGAAGCTCCTTACCTCTCTGCAGAAAGCCACTATGTTCTCCCAGAGTGCCTTGGCCTCGCCCTCGTCTGTCTGCCTCCGCTTCTCCACATGCATGCTCTCCCTGCGCCTCAGGGGTGTAGCCCCCCGGCACTGGGTCACTAGAAGCTGTGGTGTATGGCAGGCTGCACAGTGCTTGGCCCGAGGCGTGTTGATCAGGGTGCAGGCAGGGCAGGCCCATTGGCCCAGGCGATCAGGCAAGAGGCGGGCAGCCTTGTGTGCTGAGGGAGCTCGTCCACAGCAGCCGACACAGGGGCCAGGCTTGTCGGCACCACAGTCGGGGCAGTGGGTAGGGGGCTCACTGTGCTCCTGGAAACCATGCAGCTTGGAGCCGCCACATGCTGAACACCTGGGGGCTGTTGTGGGGTTCCTAAGCGTGCACCTGGCACATGACCAGGTGGTGAAGTCAGGGCTGGAGGGGCTGGCAGGTGTGTAGCGCACAGTGTCTCCAGCCAGGTCAATGACATCACTGCACGACTCACAGCGGGCAGGGCTGCTCTCTGGGGCCTCCTCCTCCAATACACTCAGTCGCTTGCCTGGTAGCAACTCCTTGCCTGACAGCAGCTCAGCTAGGCGGGAGGCCCCAGCTGCAGCTCGTCCAGGGCCCTGTGGGGGCCCTTTGGAGCTTGTGGAGGTCGAGGACTGAGCAGCCTCAGGCACAGGTGGCTGAAGCTGAGGGGGAACCTCCCGGCGGCTTCTGGGCACAGGGTTGTTCTGTAGGGTGGGTGAGAAGGGGCTGAAGGGTGGTACCCTGGGGGGCTCCTGGTCAGTGGAGATGGGACCCTGGCTGGTGGAAGGAGAAGCAGCATCAGCACTTTCCCCAGGGAGGATAGGCTGGGATGGAGCAGGAACAACATGGAAGCCAGTAGGGGCCACAACCTCAGGAACCACCAGGGCCTCTGGGGGGATGCGAGGTAATGACAGTTTCCGGGGTCCCCCACAGGCAGAACAAGAGCTGGCCACTGGTGTGTTATGCAGTGTACAGCGCTGGCATGCCCAGCCACTGCCAGGCTCTGCCCCTTCCCCTTCGTCCTCCTGCTTCTTTTCTTCTTCTTCCTCAGAGTGCCCTCTGGCTGGCTCCATGGCTACTAGCCCTGCTGTCCGCACAGGGCCTGCTTCCTCCTTGCAGTTGCCCTTTGGTTCCACCAGTATGGTGGGTGGCTTGGGCAGGACCCCATTGATAATGGGCAGCAGAGGGGCTCCAGGAACAGGCTCTGGGGTAAAGCCACACACTTCGCAAGCCTCTTTGCCTAAAAAGTTCCGGAATGTACAACGTGCACAGGGCCATTTCTGCTCCTCCACGCTGAGCCGCAGGATCTGGTCAAGATCTGGCTTGTGCCTGGGGGCCTCACAGATGGAGCACTGGCGTTGGCCGGCAGGGTTCAGGAAGGTGCAGCGCGCACAGGACCACTCCCCAACTGTGGCCATAGACCCAGGAGAATGTGTGTGGCTGCAAGGGAAGAACCTGATTAGTGTGGCTTCTTTGAGGCCTAAAGTCACAATGATCCATGGGGAGGACACCACTTTTCCATGGAGGGTGACTGGAGCTGAGGTAGATGCCTGACTGGATGGAGAGCCAGCAATATGGAAAGTGTGGTCACCTTGCGGTCAGCAATGTTCTGAGGGACAATGGTTGGGGCAGTCTTCAGTCAAGAACAGCCTAAGCCTTTGACCAGTGCACATCCTCAGCTTCCCTCATTCATAGGTGCCAAGGGAGACTCCTTGAGCTCCAGGTCAGGGTGGAATCAGAGCTAAACCTGGGCATTCTGGTCTTTTCCTATGGGCTTAGCACACTCCACACCACTAGGCTTGTAGCAGGGTGGCCGTGAGTATTGGGAGGCTTGTGGATCCTTCTTGGAAAGGCTACCTGAGCACAGTGAGGACACAAAGCAGACACAGCGTGAGCCTGGATGGAGGTGAGGTTATGAGGCTTGCACCTTGCGTTATTCTAAGAATTTGACATGCTTCTGGGCTTTGAACAAATAGAATACATGGAGTGCAGTCCCTGGGCTCCTGGCCTGACTACCTGCTCCCAGGATGGGTCCCTCAGGCGGATAGAAAGGGTGCTGGGCTCCACAACAGGGATGAGCTGAGCTGCAAACACACTTCCACAGTATCTATCTGTAGAACTAACCATAGCTGCTCTGCCTCTGGGAAAATCAGTTGCCTTTTACAATGAAGCACGAAGTTATGCTTCTAACCTTTGGTTCAGGAAGAAGGAAAACATTCCTCTTCAGAAAAACAAACAAACAAACCAAATTCTTCCCTCCAAAAGATGACTTGCCTAAGGGCCCAGGGTTGATTCTCATTCTATCTGCCTGTGTAGGTTGGGTAGCCCCAGGAGAGACAGGTAGAAGCTGCTGAGATGCCCACAGCCTTGCCCACAGTGGGCAAGGCCTAAGTGGACAGAAGGAACTCTGAGAGCCCTGGAGCAGCAAGTAGGCAGGTGTACCAGGCTCAGGTCAGAGCCTGGAGATCACCAGACCTCTCTCCTCCACTCCTTTCCTTGGAGAGGGCTCATGGTTAAGGACAGAACACAGCGTGCCAGCAGAGAGGATGTCCCCTGACACCTCTTTCCCATACAAGAGCACTGTTGTCTCCACCTGCACATCTACTTCATAGCACAAGATGGGCATCCCAGAGGGCCCTAGTGGGCCACAGTGAGTTTGACAGGTTACCTCCCAGGAACCTCCTGAGGTAAGTCAATCCTCATGAAATGTTCCTAGGGGGCTCTCAGGGCATTCTCTGATTCAGCCCTAGGCCACTGACCATACAGACTGAGGAAGGTTGTGATGGCTAATTAATGCTTCCTGTCTACTCGGCTGGATCTGGAATCATACGGAAGACACACCTTGGCAGGATCTTTGAGGGTGCTTCCAGAGAGGTTTAACTGAAGAGGGACAATCCACTCTGTAGTCCAGGCAGGCCTCAAACTTATAAAGACTCTTCTATCTCTTCCGAGCAGCATGTCCCACCACGCCAAGCCCAGAATACCCACTCTGAATATGGACAGCACCATCCCATAGACTGGGATTCCAGGTTAAATGAAAAGGGGGAAAGGAGGGCCATTAAATCTGGTGACCTGAGTTTGACATCTGGGGATCCACATGGTAGATGGAAAGGATCAACTCTCATAAAGTGTCCTCTGGCCTCCACAGGTGAGCCACGGCATGCATGCATGTATACACACAACATACAATAATATGTAAAAAAGGAGAAAGCATGAGCTTCTTTGCTTCTTAACTGCAGCTGTCTCATGCGCCCATAGCCACACTCTCCTTGAATAATGGACTGTGTACCCTCTGTGATGGTTTAAATAAAAATGGCCCAATAGGCTTACATATTTGAATACTTAGATTTTCTGCAAGGCCTCGAGAAGGCACAATGCTATGAAGGTAAACTCCAAGATGCAATGAACACCCCATGATGCTGGAAATGCCAGGACCATAGGATGTCTGCTGAGGAAAGCTGCTGGAGTGGAGTGGAGCTGGCTTAAGAGAGCGGCTATGTGTGCTGGAGACAGCACAAGTGGAGAATGGGGTTATTCAAGGCTGTTGGAGTCTAGAGAACGTCACAATAAGCCACAGGTACAGGACGACACTGAGCTTCTGGGTATAGGTTTGGTTTTCCTTGGCCCTATTTTACTTTGCAATGCCCCATTTCCTCTCTTTTGGAAGGGGGTTTACTTACTCTATGCCATTGTATACTGGAATTATACAAACTTTATAGTTAAGAGACTGACTTGACTGTTGACATGAGCCAGGCGTGGTGGCTATAATTCCAGCACTCAGGAGGCAGAGGCAGGCAATCACTCTCATCCCTCTGAGATATACTGAGTCCCACCGACAAGCCCCTCTTTTTGATGAAATATGTACCCACAAAAACTGTAAGCTAAAATAAATCCTTGTTTCGTTAAGTGGGTTTTGTCAGGTACTTTGTTATAGCAAGAAGAAAAATGACTAATATAAATTTCAAAAATACTAGGGAGGAAGTTCAGGTGCTCATTCATCTCAGGAAACAGCCGGGATGGCCAGGGTCTGGCCCAGTTGAACCCAAAGCATGGCCATTGACTGGGTGAGAGGAGAAAGAGGAACCACACAGGAAACTCATATAGATGAGCCAAATCAGGAAGACTCCAGCTGTAGTATAGGACAGCTCCAAAGAAACAATGCCTAAAGATCAAACTTGTTCCAGAGGCCAAGCTGTGCATCTTCTGTAACCAGAAAACCTCTCAAGACCAAGGACTCTTAGGGTAATTCTGGTCAGCTGTGTGCTATGAACCTCCCAGGACCCCTACCCTTTACCCTCCTTGGTTCACCTGCTAATGCCCATAGTCCATGACCAGTCCTTTACTGAAAGGCCTGGGAAGGGACCCAGGACTCAAGACCTCAAGTCCATAGGCAAGACCAAACCACCACAAAAGTCTGTGTAGAGCTGAAGACCCAATAAAATCTGTATACAGAATTTGGCAAAACCTCTGAGAAACTCTCAACACAACAGCGAGAGTGTTGACTAGCATGAATGAGATATTGGGCTCGACTCCTAGATCCAGAAGTAAAACGAAATTAAAAAAAGGGTTTTTGCACTTGATTTTCTAGAATTCTCAACACAAATACTCCTAAATCACAGCACATGAGCTCACAGAAGTAGTTCCAACTCTTCAGGACACGGGCTTTGTTCTCGACTCCCTGGGCAGTGCAACACTCAGATTTCATGCAAAGGGAGGTGACAGGCTCCAAAGCTACAACAGGGTCTACCTGAGTAACCAGGAAATGAGCACTCAGAGGACCTGGAGGTTGCTGCATCCTGCTGTGGTCTTGGCAAGAAGTCTCTCCCCTCTTAGAAAGGACAGGTTAGCTAATTAGGCCACTAAAAGATGGGATGCCCTTGCTCCACAGAGCAGCAGCTCCACGCCCTACCCTTGCCAGTTTCTTACCCTGTCCTGAGGACCTATATAAGGGTGAGGGTAGTGTCTCCCTTTCTAGGGAGATGTACCAGGCTGTTTTCCTGGGCTGACTACAGGCTAGCCTGCTCAATTTTTCTGGATGGGTGTGTCCTCCTTACCTCTGTCCCTAGGCAGCCAACGCCTGAAGCAACTGTCAACTGATTAACCAGCCAGGTGAGGCTGGATATAAGCAGGGTTCCTATACTGGGCTCTCATTGGTGGAGGAAGGAAATCCACTGTACCTTGATCTCCTGGGCTCAGGTGATGAGTTGCCTTCTTACCCATACAATGGGTGTTACCCAAAAGGAGAATACCACCTCACTGGGGGCGGCAGTCCTGAGAGATATGATGAGGAACTGCTACTTTCTGCCCTATGCTTCTCCCAGTCCACCCAATGTCCTACAAACACTGGGGGAAAGGCTGTCTGTTTCCTATGCTTGTGCTGTGTTACTTCTGTGTGAGTATACACACATACGTGGGGAAGGAGTTCTGAAGGCCGTCCACAGAGTAGTGTCACCTTAGGCTTTCCTGCCACCTGTCTAGTGCAGTAACCTGTCATGTCCATCCCCTCTCTTCCAGAACATTAACACTGTTTATTTCTGATTCAACTCAGATGCCTGCTGCCTACTTAAGTCCTAGGCCTACTGAGAACTAGTACACACTGGGGATGCCAATTGAGGGGAAGGGCCTGGCAAGAGGCTGGAGTAACAGGAAGTAAAGACATCCTCAAGTCTTGGGTCTCTCTCTCCTCTTAATCCCACCTCCTTGCTTAGCTCAGATGAATCTGTCCAGCCAAACAGTTCTGGATGTCTTTAAATTTTTCCTTTCTTCACATAGCCCAAGTTGTATTTGAACTGCTGATCCTGCTTCTGCCTCTAGAGTGTTGGAATTACAGGCACACACTTTCATGCCTGGTCATAGTTCTGGATTTTAAACTCTTGTGATTTATTTATTTATTTATTTTGAGCCAGGGTCTCTCTTTGTAGTCCCAGCTGTCCTGGAACTCATTATGTAGACCAGGCTGGCCTCAAACTCAGAGACTCACCTGCCTCAAAATTCTTGTGCTTTAGTTGGGCAGTGGTGGCACACGCCTTTAATCCCAGCACTTGGGAGGCAGAGGTGGGCAGATCTATCTATGTGAGTTTGAAACCACCCTGGTCTACAAAATGAGTTCCTGGATAGGCTCCAAAGCTACATAGAGATCCTGTCTCAAAAACAAAACAAAAAATCTTGTGTTTTGGGGGGCTGGAGAGATGGCTCAGAGGTTAAGAGCACTGGCTGCTCTTCCACAGGACCTGAGTTCAATTCCCAGCAACCACATGGTGGCTCACAACCATCTGTAATGAGATCTGGTACTGTATCCTGGAAAGTGTATATATAATTAATAAATAAATAAATTTTAAAAAATCTTGTGTTTTAAATATACACATATATTAAGCAATATATGTATGTATATGTACCATGCACATCCTGGAGCCCTTAGATGTCAGAAGAGCCATTGGACCCCAGGAGCAGAGTTTCAGGTGGTTAGGAGCCACAATGTGAACTGAACCCAGGTCCCCTGGAAGAGTGGTGAGTGCTCTTAGCCACTGTGCCGCCTTTATAACCTCCCAAATCTTGTGCTTTTACTTCTGCTTTATGAGACAGAGTTTCACTCAGCAGCCTGCCCAGCCTGGAACTCATTATGTGGCCCAGGCTACACCAAACTCTCAGCAATGTTCTTTTGCCTCTTGCCGCAGCTTGCCAAAATCTGCAGCAACAGGGTGTGGTACACAATGCTGAGCAACCCCTCACCCCCAAACTCACTTAAAATTTAAACCTTGAACTTTCATTTACACACATGAACTTAGTAAAATATAAAAGCAGGAGAGCCACCCACCCACGTGATATGTACGTGGTGACATTCTCTGTTGGAGAGCTGCTTACTGACACAAGACAGAAAACAAGTGCAGCATACAGCCTCAGCACACAAAGCCACACTGGGCCTAGACATTCGATTCTTCACAGTTTTTCCTCAGGAGATACACACATACATATACACACATATGAAAACATGAGCTGTTCAACACCAACAGTCATCAGAAAAATGCAAATTAAATCAAGTAAAGCTCCACTGCACACCCTGCAGGATGGTTAGAGTCAAAGACAGATGATAGCAAGCATTATCAAAGTCAGGGGACACTGCCAACACTCTTGGTGGAATGTAAGTGGGCCAACCCCCGAGACAGCAGTGTTTCTCAGAATGTTGTGTAAACTCACCACAAACACAGCAGCAGCTCCAGATCAGGGATACACCCAAAACAATTAAACACATGCCCACATAAAACCTTCAGCATGAAAGTTTATAAACGGCATCATCATAAGAGCTAAGTGAGCAGACAAGCCAAACGTAGCTTATTCCTACAACAGAAGACCACAGAAGCATGCAAAGATGGAAGTCCGTGCTGCAATGGGGATGAACCTTAGGGACAGTATGCTGAGTGAAAGCAGCCAGTCAGACATGTGGTCACATGTGAAATCTCTAGAAAAGGTAAACCTACAAACAGGAAGCAGGTTAGTGGCTACCTGGGGCCAGAGCAGGGACGGAAAGACCACAAACAGAATCTCATTCAGGTGCAAACTAACTCATAAGGGTTTGTACAAAGCAATGAACTGGTTGAAGATGATCTGTACATGCATCGAGAACAGGTGAATTTGATGGTGTGTGGAGCTTTATGTCAACTTGATACAAGCTGGAGTCATTCTGGAAGAGAGCTCCTCAATTAGAAAATACCCCACTATCTGGCCTGTGGGCAATTCTGTGGTGCATTTTCGTGATTGATGATAGATGTAGGAGAGCCCAGCTTACTGTGGGCAGTGCCACCCTTGGACTGGTGGTCCTGGATGCTATAAGGCAAGCTGAGAAAGCCACAAGGAGCAACCCAGCAAGCAGCACTTCTCTATGGCTTCTGCATCAGCTCCTGCCTCCAGGTTTTCACCCTGAGTTCCCTCAATGACAGACAGTGCTAAAATAAATTCTTCCCTCCCCTAGTTGATTTTGGTCAATGGTGTTTTATCACAGCAACAGAAAAACTAAGACAGTGTATAAGTCATATTCTAATAAAACTGCTTAACAGAGTCAAAACTTGTATTAGAGATACTGCCTGGAGCATCCTGAGTACTAAGGGCAGGGAGGCACTGTGATGCCTTCATGCACATGAGAAACTGCACCATCTCCACTTGCTTGAAGATCCTTGCTATAGTGCCGCTTGTCCTGTCTCTCTGGACCTTGAATTTCCAGTGGTTGACTCTCCCAACCAGTAGAGTGACTCAGATCTACAGACTCATTTGGTCTCAGTGCCTCCTTCCAGCATCTCCTAAAGGTCACTTGTCAGCCAGCTCAGAAGGCAGTCTCCTGTCTGTGCTCTATGCCCAGCTAACTTCCTATGCCTGACAGATGGGTGAGTGAGCTGTTTGTGGAAGTCACAGCCATGCACTTCTCTGAGTAAAGAAAAGATCAGAGTGTTACCTGGGTTCTCTAGAACAGAGCAGGTCTGCAACCTGAGGTGGAACCCTGGCTATATAGGGGGTGCCAGATATCCTTCCTTTAAAAATGACATGCATGCAGGTAAAGGCTGTGGTTCCCCACAGCCAGACTGGCATCCCTAGAGACAGCCATACTGAAGCATAGGTACCACAGGCTGGGAAAGGGGAGCAGTGTTCAGTTCTGACAACTGTGTGAAACAAGTCAGCACTCTTAATACATGCTAGCTACAAGGGCTGAAGTTATCAGCCTCCAAGGCAGGGGGTCTCCAGACAGCCTTCATAGGAATTCAGAAGACCACGGGCAGGTACTGCTCAACAGTGGACATAGCAGAACCTCAGGCAAGGGAAAGCCTCAGACTCATCAGCCAAGAACAGCAAGAATAACCCCAGATCAGATAGCTCCTGCACCTTTAGGGGAAATGAGTTGACAGAGAGCACTGATAAACAGAGACCCCTGTTCTGAGCAAGCATCTGTGTCAAGGAGGGACACACTGAACAAGTCTCCTGCCTAAGACCCCCTCAGGGTTGCCCCTCCCCTCCTTCTTACCTTCGGGCCCGGGGACGTGGGTGCTGTCTGGTGACCAGAGCACTTCCCCAGACAGTCTCCCCAGGTCCACTCCTACACCAGCCAGCTGCTGCCGGGGGCCCTGGGTAGGGTGGCCCCCCAGGGAAGCCGTGGTCTGACTCCGTCTCGGCAGCCAAGGAGGAGGCGGAGCTCCCCATGGCCCCCCTGACAGTGGCCACGTAGAGAGCCGGGCCTGGTCACCTCTGGCCGGTGGCACACGAACGGAAGCATGGAGAGAGGAGAATGCCCACACCGGAGGAAGGGCAGCCGGCTGGTCAGTGACACAACAACAAAATAAACAGAATAAAGAGAGAGAAGAAACAGTGTGATTCACACAGAGGAAACTCTGGGACCTGGGAGAGTTTCCCAGTATGCCAAGTGGCCTGGGGTACACGAGTGGAAAGTGAGGTTCAGGGACCTGGGCATGACTTTAAAGTTGTCAGCACTGTAGGGTACATATAGACAAGCCCCACAAGGGAATATAGGCCAAAGACCAAAGGTCAGCTCCAAATGGAGCTGCAGCTCCCTGACTTGAGGCATATTAGGGTTTCAGGTTATCACCCTAACCTGAAAAACCATCCTCTCAAACTAGTCTCTAGTCTTCCATCAGAACAGTTTGCCTTACCACAGAGGAGACTATCGAGGGGACATTTAGCCCACAGGAAAGGAAAAACAATGAAGGAGCAGAGGGCACAGTGGAATGGCCCTTGAAGAGCTAAGAGGTCAGGGCCAAGCTGTGCCTTTAGAAGGGCAGCTGCTGCCTGTGTAAACACCCTTACCAGGCAAACCCTAGACCTGGAGAATGCCAGGGAACTCGAGAAACTGTCCATGACCAGGAGGAAGAGGGTAGATTTTTGTGCTGCAGGGAAAGCCAGTTTATACCTATTGGCAGTTGGGGAGACCAACACACACAGGGTGACTGGGTCTGTGTGTGTGTCCCCTCTTTGGGCACTAGGTTAAGGTGTCTGGATACGTAGACCATACACTTGTCCTGGTTTCAGCAGTTCCTACCCCTGGCTCCCCTACCACCCACTGACAGCACTTTCTCTGGCTTCTGAGTAAGCCTCTATAATACTGACTCTGGTATTAGGGTATAGATGAGGGGAGGCTGATATAAGGAGCCAAGAGACACACCTAAAGTACTATGGGATCAAGGGACAGGCCCACATGACATGTAACAGCCTGTGTAGTACTTCTGAGAGTCAGCACTTGACACCTGAGAAGACCACCAGCATCAAGCCCAAACCCTCTCCAACACACTCAGGCATGGGGTCAGGTAGTCTTGCAGTTGCAAGAGAGGTTGCAGTTAGAACCAGCTGTTTCTCCCATGAAGTAGTGTTTCTCAGCTACCTTCTGAGTTAGCATGTAAGGGACTGCTTTTGCCAAGGGACTGGCCCTATTGGCTTGGTGACCCTGTGATATTTGAAAGCTTTGAATTCATACTTTGGAATGGCTAGAAAACAAAACAAGCCAGGAGTTGTGGTGCACGCTTTTAATTCCAACACCTGGAAGGAGGAGGCAGTGGGTTTTTGTGAGTTCAAAGCTAGCCTGGCTTACAGTTGTTTTAATACCTGCAACTCCCCTCCCCCCTAAAAAAGAATGAAAGGGTATGAGAAATGAAACTTATGCGAGCTAAAATGTCACAATTCCCTTTTTCTGAAGACAGGGTCTCATTATGCAGCCCAGATTGCATTTCAACTCAGGGTCCTTCTGCCTCTGCCTCCCAAGTACTGTGACTACAAGTATAAGCTATCACGTCAGGCTTGAAATTCACATTTCAGTGTCTACAAATGGTTTGGCTAGACAAGGCTGTGCTCATTTATTTACATGCTGTCTGTGGCTTCTCTCAGAGATTACACAGCACAAGACATCACAAATGTTCCTAAGTGTTCCTTTACTTAGGGCTGGCCAGCCCAGATCAGACGGTATAGTACAGGTTCATGATTCCTGCAAGCCACACAAAAGAGGCACAAAACGAAGAGAGGGCTGGAGATCTGGCCAGAAGCCACAGTGGAGGAATTTCCAAAATCATCTTCTGACTTCTACATGTGTGTACATGTTCCCTGGCATCATCATCATCATCATCATCATCATCATAATAATAATGATAATAACAACAATAACAATAACAATAAAAGCTAAAAAAATAACAGGTGTAACTGGGTATGTTCAGACCTGTAATCCAGTACTAGGGAAGCTGAAGAAGAAATCAAGATTTCTAGGACAGTCTGGAGTACATGCTAAAACTCTGTCTCAAAAATGAACAAAACAGGGAGCTTGAGAGATGGTTCAATGGTTAAGAGTACTTTGTTGCTATTGCAGAGGACCTGGGTTGGGATTCCCAGATGGTTTACAATCATCTATAATTCCAGTTCTAGGGGATCTGACACGCTGTTCTGACATCCATGGGTACCAGTCACACATGTGATTCACATACAACATGTAGGCAAAACATTCATATATATAAATAAATCTTTAAAAAACCCACAAAACAATGAAAACAAAGATCAGGTAAAAAGATTTCAGCATATTTTGTGTAACCTAACATATCTAGAATGCTTTCCTTTCAGTATGAAATTATCACAAAAGACATACATTACTGAGTTACTAAGTATCCCTTTTTTGGTCAAGGTGCTTCTCCTGACTCCCTAGCCCACTTAGGGTGTTACTAAGTAACCTTAGCTAATCTTGCACTCTTACTGCCTTTGACTGTTTTCACATAGGGTCTTACAATGTATCCTAAACTGGGAGTAAACTCCCAATTCTCCTGCCTCAGCTTGCTGAGTACTACAATTATAGGCATGACCATGGCACTTGGCCCTGATCAAGATCTTTAGACTGTTTTCTAGCTCGACAAAGACATGTCACTTCCTGGGACTCGGCAGCCATGTGTGCTGTTGCTCTGCATGAGTATTAGTGAACTGCTGGTGTTGGTGACAGGATTCTGTTCCGGTGCCCAGCAACACATGCTCTGTCCACCAGTCCCACATTACAATGGTCACCCAGTGCACCTGCCTCTCCTGTGGTTGTCAGCGCTGGAACAATCCCCCAAACTGACAAGCCCTGGCAATACAGGAGACTCCTGTGAGAAATGCACCCCAGCATTTCTGATGCTCCTCTCTCATATTCAAACCCCGAGCAGGTAAGAGGGAGTGAAGAGTGTTGGGAGCTGGAGATGTCCACGGGGCAGAAACTGCTTACAATAGGGTCCTGAGGTGATCTACTGCCAACACTGGGCTTTGCCACATTCACTGTGAAAGCATGCACTAGACTCATGGGCTGCCTACCTGCTTCTCCAGAAGATATGAGAGTTCTGCATGGGCTTGAGTGCTGCTTGCCCCACAACTCCTGTAGTTCCCACCTATCCCTCTCTTCATCCTGTCCAGGGACTATCCTCCTCCTGTCTTTGTGCTTGCTCATTGGGGATACCTTGAGCATAGGATCCCTTGAAAAGGTAGGGACAGCACATTCTTTTTTTGCTAAGTGTGCAGAGCAAAGAAGAAAGGTAGGCAAGAAGAGCAATGCTCAGTTCTCCATGCTACAAAGTCCCAACCATATCCATTGTGAAGATGGAGAGAGTCCCTTGGTGTGTGGAGGAGCCTCTTGACTAAAGGCCACCTAAGAGATGCTAGCAGTCTTAGTACTCCCTTACCCCCCAACACACACACCAGAGAGCAGTTGGCTATTAGTTCTTTGTTGGCCTAGGGGGCCCTTTTACCTCAAGAGGCTGGCATCAGTATTTCTCATGTATCCCAAGCTAGCCTAAAACACTATGTAGCCAAGGATGTTCTTCCACTCCTGATCCTCCTGCCACAGTCTCCCAAGTATAGGATTATAAGCATGTGTCACCACACCCAACTGTACACGTGTGCTTCTTGAAACCCACCTTCCTTCTGCAGGCCTTTTGCCCAGCACCTTCTGTAGACCTGGTGGTTGTTAACTCCACACGTATGGTAGACAGCTGTATACAAGGTTCTACATGCCTTCCTTCTGGGTTCTGACAACTGCACTCAGGGACCTTTGAAAGGGTAGAAGGGGAATTCAGTAGCAGCCCTAGCTAGAGAGTGTTGGCTGTTTCTCTGGCTTGGCCAACCCTCTATAGAAGCAATTATCACACCCAGGCCACTTTGCCAGGGACACTGGGACCTCCCCTTTGAGGGAAGGAGGCTGGCCCCTCCCAGGTCTCTCCCATCTAGGCCAGAGCATACCAATATAATTAGCATGTGGTGACAGGCAGGGACACGGAAGAATGCCAACACAGGTGGATCCAGTTTTTGTTCACATTCTGGCTGCCTAGGCTGTACTCAAAGAGAACAGGAAGGAGAAGAGTATGGCCCCCATTATAGGTGGCAGGCCTGAGCCACCCCAAGGGCTGTCTTCTCTGACAGGATTTGCTGGTGGACAAAGCCCCCTCTCCTGAAAGCATTTCACTTGCACCTCCTTTTACTCCAGTTTGTGTGCTTAGCAAACACCCTTTGACTTCTGGGGCAGGTCAGGCTGTCTTAGGAGGCTGGACACAGCAAATAGTGATTCTCAGAGATCCTACCCCAGACGCTGTCTCGCTGCTACATGACTTAAGTGTAACCACATCAGTCTCCAACAAGAGGCAGAAGGGGCAGGGTGGACTAAGGGCCACAAGATTTGAGAGATAGGGTCACCCATCTTATCAGCCCTAGGGCTTATGCCTTTCCCACTTCAAAACAAATCAGTCAGTTCCTCCCTTATTTGCATTTGGGAACTGTTCTACTTTTAAATGGGACAGTGCCCTAGATCAAGCCTCAAGGAAGCAAGGAAGTGGGGCTGTCACTGTTCTGAAAGCCAAAGTGTTAATTATCAAGGTGGATTAGCATGTCCCCAGCCTTGGTCTGAGATGTTCTCTGCACATGCTGAGGGCAGCTGGAGAAGACCACCAGGACAAGCATGAGAAGACAGGATGACGCCTCCATGGATTCTGCACAGAACCACACAGGGTGTACTCTCTACATCAATAGCTTCTTTCTGTTGTCCCCAGCTCCACCTTCAGCTCTGAAGGTCCTCTGAGAGAAGGTGTTGGTCATGACAGTACATCCCAGGTAGGCCAGGCCCACAGTTCTTCCTCACGGGCGCTCACTCAGGGCTGGAGGTTGGGTGGGGACCATCGTGGCTTTCATAAGCCATGAGACTTGCCGGGCAGTGGTGGCGCATGCCTTTAATCCCAGCACTCGGGAAGCAGAGACAGGGGATCTCTGTGAGTTCGAGGCCAGCCTGGTCTACAAGAGTTAGTTCAGGACAGGCTCCAAAGCTACAGAGAAACCCTGTCTCGAAAAACCAAAAAAAAAAAAAAAAAAAGCCATGAGACCTAAGGGCTGCAAACCCACCGTGAGGGTCCCTTAGTAGAGTCTGTCTTTTTGCCCCACATTAAAACAGCCAAGTCAGTATTTCCTGTCCAGAGCTCCCAAGGACTTGTGGGATACCTCATTCTCAGGACAATCTGGGGGATATCACTAAGTCAAGGCCAGGGAGACCTTGTGTTTCAAGGGTTCTTGGTATAGGAAGTACAATGTCTCCCTGTCTCCCCATTTAGGAGTGCCCTGAGCACAGTACTCAACCTCAGTAAAATAAGAATAGAATGGGTTCTCACACCAACTGAGTAGAAACCTACCACACAAGCTCTTCCTCTTGGTAATTTTACAAAGGGCCATCTTCTCCCATTCTAACTGCAGTAACCCCAATATCACTCGTCTCTTGAGACAGTGCATGGCAAGACAGAACTTGAGTGCTAGCCGTACCTGGCAACAATAGCTATCCACCATCCCTTAGCGTTGTACCTACCAGGGCAAGAGGCAGTCAGTTTAGCTGTGAAACCAAGACCAAACCACTGCTGGGAAGCAACACCAACAAGCCAGCTCCAGAGGAAATGGCCTGGGGACAGGAAGTGAATCCTCCTTGAGAAACTAGGCTGGGATCTACCCCAGGGGAGGATGCAACCCTGTGAGAACTGGCTGAACAGCATTCCCTGAAAGCAGGCAGAGTGCTTCCACAGAAATGGACCACCCTCCGCTCTTGGAGCCTCTTTTTGGCCAAGACACCACAGCACAAGAATTCCAGGTGGGAGTCCCTGACAGGCCATAGGCAGACATCTCAGGTGGTACACCCAAGAGGGTATGAGGCCCAGGAGAGCCTCATACCAAACCCCACAAGCACAGCTTCCCCCAAAACAGTTTCTGTAAAGCCAGAGAGCCCAGCTGGCAGGGCAGAGGGCTGATCACCAGAGAACACCGGCCCGGAGAAAGGGGCTCTGCACTCCCACCTCTGCAGATCCATCAAACAAGCACGGCGCCTCATAACTAGCTCACCTGAGGCCACGCAGATGACAAAATGTCAGTGTGTCCAACTTTTGAACAGGCTGCCACAGTAGCACTCACCAAGACAGCACGCTCCTCCTATCAGGGTTTGGACTCTGGCCCAAGAATGCCAAATGCAGCCTTTGGGATTATCCGCATGAGCAAAGTCCTGCAAATGAATCATGACTGGCCATGTGGTTCAGGCCCTGCCCTCTTCACACTGCTATGGCCAGAGCCTCTATTTACTGCCCCACCTAAGCTTGTGCTGTCTAGGCACTCCTTCCCTTTAAAAGTTGTGTCTGTTCCCTAGCCAGAGACCACAGGAGACAACACGGTCTGCTGGCTCTTTACTGCCACTGCCACAGGAACCAACCTGGCCATGGCAAACAGGCTGCGGCACTCGTAGGACAACAGAGGGGGTTATTCAAGATCCTGTCCTGATGTTCCTCAACTTGGCTCTGCCCCTAGGTAGAGTTCATCGTCAGGGCCACAGATCAGTAGTAGCTGGCAAGGAAGCCTAGGCTGTCTAGGTACTGCCAGGGAACTGTGCCAAGATTGGGGCAGGGCTCAGGGGAACAGCAGAGTGTCACCAGGATTCCCTGGACTCAGGTCCTGGCACTGTTTAGTCACTCCAACTGCCAATGGGTAACCACTGTTTCAAGCTGCAAACCTCTGCTCTTCTCGGCACCTGCTCACTATGGCAGATGTTGCCATGCAGGCAGGATACTCATGTATCCTCATCCTGCACTTCCTTTCTGGGCCACTGCAACCTCCTCTACTCTCTTAGCCACTGCCTTCTCATATGAGTAATACTGGAGACAGTGGCCATCACCCTTCACCTGCACACAACAGAAAGGGTGTGAGCTGAACTCAGAAAGTGAACCAGAGATTCTACTGAAAATGAAAAACCCACCTAAGGGCCAAGCGTAGGATAAAGACTCAGGTAGAAGGGTGCTGTCTTAAAGCCTCTCACTCCCCTGAATGGAAGCCAGAACACGTCACAAGGTAGTTCTTAACCTTGAGTTTGAGATTTTTTTTTCCATTTTTGCCAAGTACTTCCTGGTCTCCAGCTCATAAGCAACTGAGAGTAGAGTTGGACGTAGCTGTACACACAAGCACTCCAGAGCAGGGGACTCTGAATTCAAGGCTAGCCTGGTCTACAGAGTGAGTCTCTCTCTCTCTCTCTCTCTCTCTCTCTCTCTCTCTCTCTCTCTCTCTCTCTCTCTCTCTAGGCTGGACCTCAGAACAGCAGTGGGGTCTCCAGCTGCAGGCCTGTTCAGAACAAACGAGACACACCGATCCTGCTGAGGTGAACTACGGCAGTTCTTGAGGCTGGGGCAAGGCTAGTCTGAGACATCTACAGCTGACCCTGCTGCCTCCTAGACAGGGAAACGGTCCCTGAACGGCCTTCTTTCTGTGTTTCTGGAGTTGCACACCACCTTCGCTATACACTATGAAAAGGGAAAATATGTTTTTTCAAAATGTTGCCAGGAAAAGAAAGGATTTCAGTTTTTGGTTCCTAAGTTCAGTGTTGTTTGCTGTGGATATACAATTTTAAAAAAGAAGGTAGAAGGTAGTCTGGTGGCCTTGCCATCAGCAGAACAAGAATCCTAGGGCACTCAAGCTCACTGCTGGCTCCAAAAGGAGACAGGAGCACTAGGGGGCCATAGCAAGTCTGGCAGCACTTCCTTCTCCAGTAGCTCTGGCCTTTCCACATCTGCATAAAAGCAGGCGCTCCAAAAACTGTACAACTCATTGATTTTTCCATCAAATGGTGTATGGTCAGCAAGATTAAGAAAGGGACAGAAAGTCTGGAAGTTCTTTATATCTAAAGGGCAACTTTTTAAGAACCCTGGAGGAGGGCATGGGAGCAACTTCTGCAGCAAAGAGCATTCCACAGCTTTCCCATCCTATTAGCAGCGGCACGGCTGCACCTTGACATTTTCAAACGGCAACTATCGACATGCGTTTCTTCCACTATCCCAAAGCTCTGCCCAAGCCCATCCTCCAGCTTAGCCACCAGGGAAGTGGGGAAAGCAGTATCAGGGAAGCAGGAGGTCATGGCTATGCATTTGGCAATGAAAGAGAGTTGAGGCCAATGCACATACTCCCCTTGGTTTCCTAACATGGAGACTTGAGCAAACCTGCCCTGGTGCTTGGTGAATCCTTAGAGAGAGTTGGCTACATCACTGGCTTCCCATATGGCAGCTTGTGCAGAAGAATACAAAGAACAGTGAGACCATTCAGCACCTTAGAGCCCCACACTATCACTCCTGTATCTCCACACTGTAGTAGAGAACGTCTGTCTGACCAGCCTGGGAAGCAACACGTTGCCCACATCAAGATGTTCTTTGGTCCCCTGGCCACAAGGTTTCACATGGTTATGCCATGACTCACAAAGTGGCAATCATGTGGCTAAGCAGGTTTTCAAGCACAGCCTCAACCCTCAGCCTCCTCTGTAAGTGACACTTACACAAGGGTCATAGGCTGCTAAGTTCCTTCTCAGACTGAGAAACAAGATGAGGCCAGGTCCCTGTTTCCACATGAGACTACATGCTGCCCTTTTAGATAAGGAGAGCTCTTCAACCTTAGAAGTCAATTGACCTGGGGCTGGAGAGATGGCTCAACAGTTAAGAGCACTGGCTGCTTTTCAGGACCCGGTTCAAATACTCCCAGCACCCACATGGCAGCTCACAACTGTCTATAACTCAGTTTGGATCAGGAATCTAACACCGTCACACCAATGTGCTTAAAATTATATATATAAGTCAACTGACCCAAGGCTACCAATGGTCAGCAGCCAACTGAGGATGTTTATTGGCTACCTGCTCAGGGTAGGGCTGGACTGAGTTGGGTACCAGGACCTTCTAAGAAATAACATACACGACTTGAGAAGGGGAGACTCAGGAAGCTGGGGTGCCCCCGGTAGACCCCTCAGGATAAACCAGAATGGTATCAGACGTATAAGGGTCAAATGGCTCCAGACAGCCAAGACATACCAGGAATGTGGAAAGGTCAAATGGCAGAGCGCATCCAGCCTGAGGGGTTAGGAGACTAGGAACATCTGGAACCAGGAGCACATGCATTTCAGGATGCTCTTGTCAGGTGACATAGCCAGTATGAAGTGGGGACCAGGCAAGAGATGCACAGCCAGGAAGAAACAAAACAAAACAATCCACACCCCTGGGGAGGGGGAGGGGGAGAGACAGGAAGTGTCATTTTTCCAGGCTTGAGCCCAGAGCCTTAAGACCATAGCTGTGTTTTTCACATTCTGCCTCCCAGGCCAGGCAGTGAGGACCCCAGGATAAACCAATGTGACAAGTTACTGGTGATTTTGGCTTTCTGTGTTTTTTTTTTTTTTTTCCAAAGAGTTCAACATTTTTTCATCTACCGCTTTTTTCTTTTTCTTTTTTTTTTTTTAAATTTTGCTCTCTCAGCCCCAGCCATTGTCTAGGGGAGTGAGAGGCAGCGCTGACCTTAGAGAGCACATGTCTGGACAAAGAACTACTCTACCTTCCTCGGGCTCTGAACTGATCACCTCATCAACAGCACACACACGGAAGGCTCTTCTTTCAAGTCCCACCGGTGAAAATGTGGAAGGAGAAAGGGGTTCAGAGACTCAGAACTCCACCTACCCCTACCTTGACAACTGCTGTCCTCCAGCCTCAGTTTCCTCAACTGTAAAATGGGGCTTACCTTTTTTTAAAAAAAAAATTTATTTATTTATTTATTATGTATACAATACTCTGTCTGTGTGCATGCCTGAAGGCCAGAAGAAGGCGCCAGACCTCTTTACAGATGGTTGTGAGCCACCATGTGGTTGCTGGGAATTGAACTCAGGACCTTTGGAAGAGCAGGCAATGCTCTTAACCTCTGAGCCATCTCTCCAGCTCCGGGGCTTACCTTTTTGACCCCAAGGCCCGGATAATGTACAATAGGGGCCAGGAAGGCTTGGGAGTAGACAAAACCTGACAGTCAGAAGCAGGGCAAAGTCTGGATACAAGGATGGAGAGCAAAGAACCCATTTCTTCTGGAGGCCAAGCTGAGGCTTCTACCCAGATGTGGGGTCAGGGCCTGGCTCCTCCTGCTCTCAGATACCATGGCCAGCAGAGGTTTTGATTGGTAAGTGTCCCCATAAAGCTGAACAGTATCTGGAGCCATGGATCCAGCAAAGCTTAAATCTGCCTTCCTTGAGCTCACTGACCTGTTTGCCATTCAAACAGTTCCTGGGATTCTCAGATGTTGGGAAAGAAATAGGAGCATCACGCTGGAGCAGAAGACCACAAAGGAAGTAGGATCAACTACCTCATGGAAACAAGGTTGCTCTTCAACAAGACGCAATTGTCCTATTCTACAGAACTGTGGTCCTGAGGACATCCCTGACAGCCAGACTCTGTAAGCAGGGAGAAACTCAGAGGCAAGCTCCAAACTGAGACAAGGGAACTGCCACTGGGGGAGCAGAACTCAAGTTCCTTACTGAGGAGAGGTTCTTCCTGATGCGGGTATTGCTGACCTACAGTGCCAGCCCCAAACGCCCACGAACGTTCTCAAGTTCTCGGCTTGGGTGTTTAAGAGTCCTGCAGCTCGGAAAGGTATCCTGTTTTAGAGTCTAGGTGTTTCACGGTCCTGTTACTGGTGTCTAGTAACAAACTGCAGGGACCCTGGGAGCCAGCGCAGCAAGGGCCATCTAGCCACACAAACGGGTTCCCAGATCAGACCTAGAAGGGCCCCCTTTCCAGACAACAAAAAGAAAATCCCGCAGCTGTCAAGGGGCCACTCTGTAACTTTCCCAGCCTACTGACAGGCCCACAAAAACAGAAGAAAGTGTGGGATGGGAGGGCACACAGGACGCCCTACGCGCTACTCTGCCGCCCCAGGTAGCTTCAGATTTCTTCAGGCAGAGCCCCCACTACATATACCTTCGTACAGAGTGGGCCAACGCTGCTTAGTCCCAGACAAGAGGGCACTCAAGGACAGGCAGGCACTGAGGGTCGCCTGCGTCTGAGGTTCCTGGGCTGGCCTCGAGTGACCCACACGACCAGCCCTTCCCTCTCACCCACGAGCCACAAACCAGGCTGTTGCTCCCAAGGCAAACACGGAGTATCCGGGCTGATGCCCCGAGGCCGAGCTCTATGAGTCCCTAGGCCGGCTGGCCCGCCGCCTACCGTGGAACTCACCTTAGCGAGCCGGCGGCGCCTTCTCAGCGCTCGCGGTCGGGCTAGGCGGGCGCGGCCCTGGTGCCGGCCCTCAAACGGTTGACCCACAACTTCAACCGGAGGGCACTAAGGCCCCCTTTACGCCAGCCGCGATGCTCCGCCGGCTTAGCGCGTTTCGGACCCGAAGCTCTAGTCTCGGCCCGGCAACCTTACGCCGCCTCCGTAGCGCCCGCCGTCCCGCCCGGCCCACCCGGTACGCCTTACGCCTTCTCCGTAGCGTGGCGCCCAGCCGGGGCCCGCGGCTACGGCGCGTCGGGGGCGCACGCGGCACTGGAATCGCGCCGGAACTACGGCTCCCACAGGGCAAAGCGACGCCGCTCAAGGCACGCCGGGAGTTATAGTCCACGGACGGTTATATTCCCTGCCCTCTTTCCCTGCGATCTCGTCCTCCCCACGATTCAGGTAGTAGTCCCATGCCAGTTTAATGAGGCGCGTTGGATCCGGGGAGATAATGGACTACAGCTCCCAGGATGCTCTGCGAGGGACCGCTGGGCAAAGCTCGGGTGGCCGTCTTCGCTGCCTGAGCCTCACTGCGCCAGGGGGCAAAGTTGATAGTCTCGGTCACGGTTGTACAAGGTCTGAGGCGGTTATCTGCGGCGCTGGGTCAGAAGGTGATCCAGCCCAGCCTGGCTGCATGAAGTGCTCTCCACCTCCCCCAACCCATTCAGTGGCTTCTGGCTTCTGTCCCAGTGGTCTGAAGCAGTAATCGTGCTGGACCTACTTACGTATGCCAGATAGGCACATCTCTTTTCCTAGAGGAACACTGGCATCTAATTGAGACATCTTCCCAGGTCCTAGGAATGATGTTCACAAGAAGCCCCAAGGTATTTCCCTTTAGGACCCATTGGCTACCAGAAGTAACTGAATTGCTCCTAGCTACTTGTCCTTTGTAACCCAAAGATGCCCTGAGAATCAGGCTGCAGAGCGGAACGTACATAGCAAAGGGAAACAAAGAAGTCCCTGGGATGTTCTGCACTCTGGATATTGTATGAGAGATTGGGTGACATTTGCCCCAGGACCCAGAAAGCCTGAGCCTAGCTCAGTAGGGCCTACAGGTACTTAGTCATGTTTCTGGGAAATCATTCGTGCTCTAGAAGTCAGCAAGCTAAAGAGAGGCCATTGAACTCAAGATGCTGTGTGGGGACACCTGTCCAATGTGGGAGACAGCACATTCTGGCAACACTGGAGGAGAATCTGGCATCTGAGCACTCCAAGAGAAGCAGTGGGGTTGAACCCACTGACAGGGTGCTTGAAGTTACTGCTAACTCAGCAATAAGCATTCACTCTATGGACTCCTCGGTGAGTCAGGCATTATGATAAGAAGATAGACAAGGGGCAAGATGGATCATTCATCCAGAAGCCCGACTAGACTGACATCAGTAGGTGAGCTTCATGGTTGAGTCAGAGGAATGGCCAAGGTGGATCCAGGACAAACTCTGCAGCATCTCTGGTCACTATGGATCATCCTTAGTGCATGAGGAACCCTGCAGATCACACAGCAGACTTTGGAGCATCCCAGTTTGTTGGCTGAGCCCTGATCTATGCTAGTGTAGTATGGGCCAGAAGATAGAACCCTGGTGAGTGGTTAGACAACAGACAGCTTGTCAGAGTCAAGAAGGGCAGGGACACTTCTGTAGGACAGAAGCCACAGATCAACCCGAATCTTGAGCAGATAGGACCCCACGCTGTTCTGGGATTTAGGGACATAGCAGTAAAGTAAAAAGGACCAAGTTTGGGTATTGGTGCCTAGTCTTCCTCGGGAAGTGGAGAAAGGAGGGTCACAGATACAAAGTTGGCCTGAGCTAGGAAATAAGTTCAAGGCCAGCATGATCAATAGGCTTTGTCTCAGAAAGTAGAGGGGTGAGACATGATGATTAGTGCCTGTAACCACATCACTTGCACTAAGGCAGAAGCAGGCAGATCTCTAAGTTTGAAGCCAGCCAGGACTAGAATGTGAGATTCTGTGTGTGTGTGTGTGTGGGGGGAGGCTGTGGAACATTCCTATGCTTGCCAACACTTGGGAGGTAGAGATAGGAAGATCAGGGCCATCCTCAGTTACATAGTGGTTTGAGGACAATCCAAACCACACAAAGACCCTGTCTCCATAAAAAACAAAAAGGTGTAATCATAAAGGTGTACTCTGCAGATATAATTCAGTAAGAGTGCTTGCTTAGCAAGTATGAAACCCTAAGCCTAGTGAGAGACTCAGAAGCTATTACAGAGTCAAAAATCCTCAATGGATGAGTCCCCAGGAATCTTCATGTGCTTTAGGCATGACTGGCAGCCCAGCCAGTCTGGTCTAAAACTTAAGTTTCTCTGACTTCCGTAAGTGACATATGACATAAATCAGAACATTAACCTCACGGTAAACATAAATGGAGGTTCCTGGCTAAAAGTCCTACTGTGTTCTGGGTTTCTTCTAGGTTCCAAAATGCCAGCAAGTTCAGGGAAGATATGCCTAGGCAGCTGCCCTGGGTTCTACCCAGGTTGTAAAGCTCCTTCCTGGTTCACCAATAGTGGGTGTGCCCTGGGATGGTCAGAAAGGCCAATGTCAATTTAAATTTGCAGAAGCCAAGCTCCATTTATGCTGATATTTTATTTTGTTTTGTTTTTTGAGACAAGGTTTCTCTGTGTCCTGGAACTAGCTCAACAGGCTGGCCTTGAACTCACAGATATCCACCTGCCTTTGCCTCAGAAGTGCTGGGATTAAGATGTGCAACCGTACCTCCTGGCTTTGTTTTTTATTTTTTTTATATTTCTTTATTATATATACAATATTCTTTCTGTGTGTATGCCTGAACGCCAGAAGAGGGCACCAGACCTCATTACAGATGGTTGTGAGCCACCATGTGGTTGATGGGAATTGAACTCAGGACCTTTGTAAGAGCAGGCAATGCTCTTAACCACTGAGCCATCTCTCCAGCCCCTGGCTTTGTTTTTTGAGACATAGTTTCTCTGTGTAATAGCCCGAGCTGTCCTGGAACTCACTTTGTAGAACAGGCTGGTCTCAACTCACACAGATCTGCCTGCCTCTAAGTTTTTTGTTTCTAAAATTTATTTATTATGTATGTAGTGTTCTGCTGCATGTATGCCTGTAGGCCAGAAGAGGGCACCAGATTTCATTACAGATGGTTGTGAGCCACCATGTGGTTACTGGGAATTGAACTCAGGACCTCTGGAAGAACAGCCAGTACTCTTAATCCCGAAGTCATCTCTCTAGCCACCCTGTTTATGCTGTTTTTAGTAGAGAACTGACCAACACTGGAAGATAAGAGCGAATTCAGGAATCAGCCGGAGAAAGGATCTGCCTTAGGAAGAGAGTTCTGGTTGTTGCAGAACCAAGAGTTGGCAAGCCCCAGTGGCCACTCCCTCTGTATCCCCCACCATCAGAGGTACAGTGAGGTGCCTGCTAGCGGTTACCAACTTCGGGAATTATCCTCTAGGCATTAGGCTCTTTACAAGAAATTCTTGGGCAGCTCTTTCTGGAATGTTTCTTTTCTTTCTTTTTTTTTCAAGACAGGGTTTCTCTGTGTGTTCTAGAACTCACTTTGTAGCCAGGCTGACCTCAAACTCATGCTGGGATTAAAGGCGTGTGCCACCAACGTCCAGAGTGGAATGTTTCTAATAACAACTCATTTTAACTGTGTGATCTTTCCACTATATCCCAAATGGGGAACTGTCTTTCTGGGGTTCAGTGTCTTCAGAATCTTCCACTGGGGGTTGACTAGACCATGTTTAATTGGAAACCAAGTTGCAAGGCTGTGGTGATGTCCTCCTCATTTCCAGCTTCTCCTAGGGCCTTGCTGGTACCAATCAAATGCCCGTGGTTTGCTGCTCTGGTGATACCCGTCAGTATTTCCGGAGCCACCCCAAGTCTTCCGAACTTCTTCAGCCCTTCAGACTGACTTTTGAGTCACACTTGCCCTCTGGCTTTTGCCTATTCTCTTCCCTGCTTTGGTGTGCTGGCTTCTCCTGGGGCTGTTCCTCCTCCCACTCTCTAAGGCTCTGAATATTTAATCCTTGAACACACTACACAGTGGCTCCTCTCAGACATAGGATGTGCAGTCCAGTGGTAAGAGCACTGCGCTAGAGATTTGTGATATCCACACCAATACTTCCCCCTCTGCCCATTTGCCAACCTCACCTGAGGATCACTGTGGCCCTCTTGGGCTGTATTCAGGGCACAAGTCCTGCCAGTAAGGAGTTGTTTGGAGGTCACTGGGACCTTGCCTTTAGAAATGACTCCCAGTAGAGCTACCTACTTCAGGATTCAGACTTTGCCCAGGAAGTAGCCCATCTTAGAGGAGCAATTCTGGGGGCCTCAGGATGGCACAACCTGATCAAGGCAGAGAACCAAGGGTCTCCCATAGTCTGTACTTAAATGTCCAATGTGACCTCCCTAGAAACCTTAGGGAAACAAAGGCCAGGCCCATAACCACCCACCCTGCCACCCCTGTGGAGAAAGGAGCCAGCCTCTGTGTGCGATAACAGCTTTAATCTGTCATGGCTGACACATGGAACAGGATCCTGCTGGTCTCCCATCCTTCCATGCCCTGGAGAAAGAGCTACTTCTCAGGGAGCTGAAGCAGAAGCTGTGAGCAAGTTGGTAATTGGTGTGTTTCCCAGTGTCTCCTGGAGACCTGTGTTTACAGTGAGAACTGCAGGGCAGACAGCAGAGAAGGCCACAAGCCCTTACACAGGACTTGGACCTGGGCACAGAAAGGCAGGGCTCCAATATTGATATATTATACATATATATATATATTTCATATGTATACACAGATAGTTTTCTCTCTGGAAAGTATTAAAAAATTGATCAACCTTCAGTCTATAAAAAATACCTACTCTACATGATAGAAAAATCTCTCCTCCAAGTTTACACTGATTTACACACAAGGCTTTCCCCAAAATGTACAATACGAGGCAATATCTTAAACTGTAGTGTAGAAGGTAGGTGTGGGGGAGGGGTAGGCAGTGAAGGGATGCAGGGCAGCATGTGTGGGCACAAGCTTACATACACTCACACTCATGCATGCGCACACACACGCACACACACACACTCACACAGCCTATGGTGTGGTCTCACACGGTGTGCCCAGACTCCAGGCTAGTGCTCAGGGTTCAGGCCTGAGCTGCACTTGGAGTGGTGCAAGGGCAAGCAGCAAGCCTTCCTCTGCCTCTGGGCCTGTGTAGAGCCTCGTCCACCTACCCACCAGCAAAATGACTCCTGGGGACA